ACTAGCGATCGCGTCCAACCTACTAGCGATGGCCTTCAACCTAATAGCGATGGCGTCCAACAAACTAGCGATGGCCTCCAACCTACTAGCAATGGCCTCCAACCTACTAGTGATGGCCTCTAACCTACTAGCGATGGCGTCCAGCCTACTAGCGATGGCCTTCAACCTAATAGCGATGGCCTCCAACTGAATAGCGATGGCCTTCAATCCTAATAGCGATGGTCTTCAGCCTTCAACCTAATTGCGATGGCCTCCAACCTAATAGATGGCCTCCATGACCCACAGGGTTGTGAACCAAATCAAACCAGCAGGTGCTTTCCAAGCGCAGAACAAACAACAAAAAACAAACTCCCACACTGGTCTCCTGCTTGTTTGCCGCAGCCATGACGCAAGCATGCTGCACCTGGATGATGGCAGAAAGGAAGATTCGATGAACTTTCCTGTTGCTCCAGTTAGATAGATAGATAGATAGGTAGATAGATAGATAGATACCTTCCAGACTGCACCCCAAGCAGCCGCTCAATTTCTTTCCACATTCCTTTGGCATCAACAGCCAGCAAGTCTCTCAATACTTACATGATCTTACATGATAATACAAGAATTGTATGAAGCCTCAAACACGCCAGAATATCCAAATAATTTACGAACACGCCTTGCACTTGGGGAACTGCAAGTCTGCCATGGTTTTCAAGGAAAATAACGGTTACGCTGACATCCCATCATGACCTTCCCAAATCTTACAAGACTCTTGGTGCCTCCTTCGATGGAGGTCCCTAACAGCTCCTCCCGGCCGTCATGCATCGATCACCATGTCAACATAGATTCCCCGAATTTGTGGTCTGCTTATGGGATCACACCCAAAAACCGCAAAAACCACTTACAACATCTTACAACATGTTTTGTACAGTAAGATCTTTAAACACTTAACAACATATGATATGTTAACACACTTGACACGACATGCTCCTTCAATGTAAACCAGCCTCCCCTTTGTTCTCGGAAAGATGACGCTACAGTCGCACTTGGAGCCCCTGCGCGAGTTGAAGTGGCATCCATGCCTTTCAGAATGCATTTAGATGGGACGTGTGGAGGGCCCTACTGAAATTTAGAGATGGTGAGGTGTCCCCCTTTTTTGAGACACTTCCAATTATCCAACCATTGGCCACATTCTTGGCCAGGCCGACCCCTGTATAGTCTCGCCAAGGTATAAATATGTTTGCCCGGAAATGATGGGTTTTCATCATTCCTGAGTCAGCTCAAGTAGAATACATATTTGGTGCGATAGAGAACAACCCCTGTGGTTGCAACCTTTAGCACCTCATTTGTCCGATGCTTTGAGCTGCTGAGTATCTTGGATCTGGTTTGTATCCACTAACCCTTCCGAGACAACAAACTGCTGCAAGAACTTCAATGGCATGATAGGAGCCAAGGAGTCCAGGTAGCACCATCGCGCACGCACTGTGCCTTTTTTGAAGAAGTCCTTGAGCTTCTCGACATTCCCCAGATGCGCGGCTTCCACCAGCTCATCCGCCATGGGATTTCACCCCGTGAAGGGCAAGCTGGTCACGGATCGGCGCGCATTCAACAGGAAACGAGCTGCCGGTCAATGGACTTCGGGTTCAGGGGGGTAGTCACATATTCTGGAGTCCCTGGAGATCCTTGCCCACACAGCCTTTAGAGCAATAGAAAGTGGAGCTTCCATCTGCTCTTTCGGGGGCCGACAGAATCTGTGCCTGCTCTTTTGTGCCAACTTGGATGACACTCCTTCTCAAAGCCAAACGGTTGTCAGGGGATGTCAGGGGTGCTGTGTGCTGTCAGAAGTTGATCCTGCCTTATTCTCATCAACATCTGTCTGCTTGACACTGCTTCTGATGGACTCCCAAAATGCATCGGACCGTGGCGTGCTTTAAGCCCACAACTCGATGTGAATCCAATAATCAAGCATGCGTGCTACATCGGGCTACATCATTGGCATACCACCTTGCCAATGAACCATGGTCTCCCAGAGCATACACTAATATACTACTTTATCGTGAGGCACGTGTTGGCGGGTACAGGTCCACTCCATGGGCCATGCTCTTATAATTGAGTCCTCACATTTTGACGTACAATGTATGCAGAATTTCATGCTTGCCATACATCTGGACTTCAAGTACCACTTGTTGAGCACAGAAAAGTGCACGAGAATGCGGACATCGTTCTCCCAAAAACTGAGACCCCGGTTATCATTCCTGATTTGTAGTCTAAGCCCTGGTATCAATGCTGGCTGGTTATTGGTTGATCGAACCACACGAAGGAGCAACAGCATCGAATCACGGCACCGGCTGTTGCTCCTGGCTCACAGGCTGACCCCTTCAGTGTCCTGGAGTCTCAACTCATGTGTTCTAGCTGTAGGTTGGGTTCCCAATGAGACTACAAATTAAACAAGTAAAGATCAGCACCCTGCGACAAAGGTATATATATATAGATAGGAATTATAAATATGTGTATATTGTTCTATAACTATTGCAGGAATCTGATCTACTGCTCACTTAACAAGTCCACTTTAGTACTATTCATTAATCTTTCAAATGCACTCAATGCAAAAGCTCACAAAGGAACCTGAGCACGAATTCACATTGATTGGGGCTGCGTTCCACCTCATCTAATATTCCCTCAGGAGCAAAGTAAGTACAAAGCTTCAGCCAGGAATTGGGGACTCATTCGCTGTAGCGACTATGGTGAAGTTCACTTTGGACCCTTTTGGCGACCCTCCAAGCCGCTTCGCATGGGCCTCTGTCACAAGGCCAGGTGCTACAAGACAAGACTGCCCACAATCATGAGGCAAGTGCTACCACCCAAGACCAAAGGACAAAGGCATGTCGGCAGATCATTTTTGGGATTGTCCAGTCGCGTTCGAAGAGGAGGATGCAGCACCAAAGAAAACCTGACCCTTCTTACATACTATCCTGGGTTGATAGATACTGTTAGAGGTTCACGTACACAAAGGCATTCATGGTAGAGCCGGTAGAGCTGTTCATTCACGGACCCCAGAAGAACATCCACCCCCAAACCCCTTCTCAAGCTTCTTGGGTCCCTCCGAACCCTTTGGATCTATATAACTCCGGAGACTTGCAAGCTGAAACCAGAAGCACATCCAATGTCAAACATTGCAACTAGTCACTAGTCGGGCCCACTACTTCAAGTTGAGAATGGCATTCACTCAGAGAGAGTCTTGAAATGTGGAGGCTTGCTCGTGAATCTGAGGCCATCAACAACATTATCAACGACTTTGCCTTTTGCCATAACACACCCGGAAAGAATAAAACACAGGTCAACAAATTCCATACTTTGATTGTAACAATCCTCCGGAAGAGAATCTCCGCTGGGAAAGCATTTAACACTAGTACTAGATCATCAGAAAAGCTAAATCAACGCCCTCCAAGTGAGGACATGATTGTTGGGCGGATTGAATGAAGCAGCAGAGTCTAAGGAGAAAGGCATCTTGATTGCTTCGTGGCTCTACATGCTACTTCTGCACGCCTTGGCGAGGAGCAATTAGACTTCACCATATTTCTGCAATGCTTTAGCTAAAACAGCAGATTTGAACAGGGGTGACTATGACAAACTAAAGACTCTCACAGTGAAGTCAGCTTTCTTGTTGCGACTCACCTGGCAAAACAGAATAGCAACCTTGGCATCACCAAATGACCTGACGGAAAAACAACTATTTGGTTGGAAAAGCACGTGGTACCCTGAAAGGACAGCCCTTCCGTTTTGTGATCAGCCACTTCTCCTGAGTCTCTGGAAAAAAAGGTGCTGCTGGGCACTCGCCCCAACCACTCATTCCGCAGCATCCTCCTTGAGCAGCGGTGAACCGAGTGATGACTCTGAGAACATCCAGAGAATAATTAGATGACCTGGAGGCCTGGAGCCCCTAGTAGCTACTTGTTCCTAGTAGTAGGGCCAGGGAGCCCCTAGTAGCGTCCTTGCTCCTAGTGGCGATGCCCTTTGTTACTAGGAACTAGTAGCTTCTTGTTCCTGGCTGCTTGCCTGGAAATGGGGACAATGTAGATCAACAGAAACGTGGCAATCCAACTTCCAACACGACGCTTGTGGGCGATCGGGGATCTACCAACATGGAACACGACGTACATGGCCCACCAACACTCCTGAAACCCTGTCCCGTGACATCGCAACACATGCGGAGTCCGTATTAGCCAGGAGCTTCCCTGAAATGGTCGGAGAGGCTGTCACCACCTGCAATCGCATTGAGAGGGATGATACGACCGTGGTACAGCCAATTGAGTCAAATAGCAAATATGTATAATAGGATTATATAGGTACATTGTCAGCATCAGGAAACCACAGAACCAGCTGATTTGCAGGGCATTGCAGGGCGCGGTGGCATGTGTTCTTGGGTGAGCAGAGGTCCCTTTTTAAACGAAATAAGGAAGTCCGGGAGTTCAAGACCTACATAGATCGGCCAACTGCGCCCTGACAACGGAAGCTCCGATATTGCTGGGGCAGCAGGGCAGTGATGGCTTGTGGTCAGTTCGTAAACACACATGACACATGACCATTCCAAAGCAAACACGAATGATGCATTGTACATTAAAGTTGACGGTATACCCCTCAGAACTGCTGGCGCAGCAATCAAGCAATCCCTAAGATATTCTTATGATATTTTCCGGCAACATCAACCACCACTTAACTACTTACGTTGTGATTCGGCTCTTGATCAGTCTCGGATTTAAGACCTACTGGTTGCGATTCGTGGCATTTATATCATTTATATCAAGGTAGATTCCTGGGGCTGCGGCTACATTGATCTCCCAAGTGAGTTAAATAAAAAGCTTGTTGTCCCTCAGTGTGCGCCACCTTGATCTTCATTGGGCATCAAACTATGAGAAATGATCGCGGCCCCAATGAAGCGGATGGCTTTTGCAATGCCAAACCTCCTTGACCTTCGCTCACGCACTGCTAGGACCAATGTATTGAATCTGGATTGCGGTGGCAACATGTGAGATGACAAGCCTACATATTTCATCGAACAATTCTCATTCACGCTGCCACGCTGAATCTATATGCTTAGAAAGTGTTGAAGAAGCAATTCTTCACATCGGACCCCCGAGCTGCACAGTGCTACCAGCCTCTGCCACGACGATTGCGATGTCATCCAACCTCAAATGAGCTCCAACGTGCATCGCCTTGTAGCCTACCAATCCCACCGGAAATACTAATATACAACCACCATACCGTTTGGGAAATCGGTGACTGCATGGACTAGGTTCCTCCTTGATGATTCTACGGTGGTCCTAATCTTGTCTGAAGCGGCTGGCTCTACTATGCTACTACAACCATCCTGGAGTCCTGGAGTAATTAGAATCTGAACCAATCCGAAAACATGACCACTTTCCCATTGCCTTTATTTTTCACACATATGGATGACTATGTATACATACATTGTCACCACATGGACAACATTGACTACAGTGGAGCTGCCAGGTTCCCAACTCCAGGTGCTTCGAAAAGCAAAACACACACATATCACATATTCATACATATTCTGCATATTTCTGCATATATATATATATATTATATATATATATTCTTTATAGACCTAGAACTGATATGTGAGTCGTTCTCACGAGTCAAAGTCGCGCAGCAAATACCACCTGTGCAGTGTTTTAGATAGTTCCTCTTGATTCGATAAATATCGAATATCATCAACAAAGAACCCTACTGATTTTTGAGCTCGCGATCTGATGAATCTGACGGGGAAGTCCCCCCAGTGCTTGAACACTTCCAGACGGTGGCTGGTGCGGGTGTAGAACCAGAATGGTTTTCTGTGTGTTTCTAATAGCTTCTTGTTCCTAGTAGTACGGCCAGGAGCCTCTAGTAGCGTCCTTGCTCCTAGTCGCGATGCCAGGAGCCCCTAGTAGCGTCCTTGCTCCTCCTTGTTCTTCTTCACTCCTTCCGAAATCGGGGTGCCTAGTCTCTGGCACCGATGAGCCGTTTCTGTGCCGCCGCACTTGCCGCCCGGGCCGAACTCGGCGGGTGCCCGGGCCTCCGTGGAGGGTCCAAGGTCGAAGGTGCGGTGGTCGGTGCACAGCGCGGTTGTTTGAGGCAAGTCCAACACCAATCCATGTCAATTCCTGGAACTGGACACACTACTTTGAGAAGACCAATCCTCTTAGAAGTGGGTTCTACCCTGAGGTCATATTTTTCATCCCACTGAACTGGCCCCATTAGCCCATGGAGCAAGCACGAATTGAATGAAGCAGCGCCGCAGTGTGAAGGTCGGTGGAACTGGGAATGGCCACATTATTGCTTGAACATCTTGGAACAACTTAAGCATTGCAAACACGGACATCAGCCCCCTTCGAGATCCAAGTACGATGCTGCATCAGCTGCACGCTGAAGTAGCCTCACATGGAGCATTTGGACCGTCGAAGAATCAACATATATATATATATAACCTGCTTCGGAACATCGAGATCAATCGAGATACTGTATTCTTGAGTATGTGGAATGTGGGATGCTATTTCATGCCCATGCGTGCTGCTCTAGTTGTTTGGGTTTTATGTTAAACCTCTTCAGGATCACTGGAGTGCTTGATTACAGCTACCGATTGACATCTAGGAGCAGCGAGCGGAAGGATCGATGTCTGATGCGAGCAAAACGGCTCATATCAAATCATACTGTATGAATGATTATGAATGATGTGTGCTATCATTTATCATACTTGAAATGCATAAATCGTAAATACAGTATGAGCCATACTTACCTTGAAGAGTTGATGCTCCACACACGTCCACCGCACTTGTCGTCGAGTCAATTGTCTGGAAAGTCATGGCAACTCCATGGGTCATGATGAATCCAAGTGTTCAAGGTCTTGATTCCTTTCACCAATGGCTTCCGATGGATCCTAGGTTGGAGGCCATTGCTGCTAGGTTGCAGGCCATCGCTATTAGACTGCTTCCTTTCATCCTGGACCATATGTACGAGTACCACCCAAATTGCATCACCCTATCCTCACCCTGCCCAACATGATAGGGGCTGGGTAGCAGTGGACCGTGATGGAAAGGGAGCCCAGTGGTCCAGGAGTGGCACTTTCCGCCTCTAATTCAGAAAAGGCGATGCTTTGAACTCACTGGACCCCCGAAGCCTCCAAGCATGGGACAACTGATTACATATCGTCTATGGATGGATATTCATGTAAAATATTATAGATTATTGTGGGTTTTGTGTTTACTCTGTGACAATCGATGTCTAATCCTTCACACATGTAAAGTGGCGTGCTGGGCAGCCCAACCCGTCTGCAAAGGCTTGCGCTGAGCGCTCCCGGCCTGGCTTCTTTTCGATCCCGAGCCTCATCAATTTTAATCTTCTGCTGTCACTGTACGCCTTTGGTCGCCTTTGGTGATCTATGTGCATAGAACTGTCCACCCTTGTAGCCGAGTGTAGCCTTTGCGCGACCCTGTGACCAATCTCCTGCAAAACGAACATTGTTCCTGCGCTACCCCACTACACTATAAGCTTCAGGACACTTTTCAAACCGTTCTCTACGCAACATAAACGTGCACTGGTGTCACTGGACCGTAACGAACTCGTCACTGAAACGGTGTCTCGAATGTCTCGGTGTCTATCGGTGACTTCGACCACGCACGGAAGAGGTAGACTCCAGACTTCGCCCCAGCATTTCCGACATCAACCGTTGAACGACACAACAACGCAAAAGAACGTCACAACACACAAAACAAATCTCCAACAAAACACGTTTGGGGTTGATCGGTCCGACCCCTGTGATGCCGGCTCAGAGAGTCAGAGAGTCCGCCACACGCCTACACTCCGAGGAACATGTTCGCCGACTCGACCCGGGACCTCTTGGAGATGGTCAGGGTCGGCCCCCAGGGGCGGCCGAACCAAACCATAGATTTTGTCCAATCCTCACATGGTTTGGTATGATTGGTGGAACACCCTGCCTTTGGGCCTTTGGGTCCTTTTCATGTCTTTGTTCATCAACCTGAACATCGGCGCTTCAACCCTGCTTCGGAATCTCGACGCTCTTCGTTCTCCCGAATGCCTTGGTGATGGGCTAATGCCAGGGACTTCAACTCCAGGTCCTGGCCATGGTGGTGAAATTCTTCGGGCGCAAGGACCATGCACTGATCCCAAACCAAAGGTTGGAATGTGGGTTCAATATCATTCAATTCCTGCAGTGGTTTAGGGCTCAATCGAGGGCTCATTCGAACTATAGACTGCAGCGCGGGACGACACCATCAGATCCGAGCAAACCCTGCAAATGACCACCCAAAACTGATCCTGGCATCATACGCCCCGATACACCAACTTGCCTACCTCCCAACCGCAGCTTGGTGATGCCGCCTTTGGCCCCGGCCCAGCGCGGCGTGCGACCAGGGTCCCCGATGTTGTCATAGAGACCATCGGTGCCGGCGATGAGGAGGTCACCCTTCCTGAGCTTCAGCCTGCGAGGGGATGGAGGAAATTGGCCTGAGTGGTGTCAAAATCCATCTGGATCATCCTAATTGAGCCCTAGAGCAGCTCAATCCTTTTGTAAAGGTGAAAGGTAAACACTGGAATTGTTTGTTTTGCTTTCGGTGTTGCTAGGTAGCTCTTTCATTATCAACTTGAATTCTTCAAAACAGTATAATATATGATCTAATATAATATTCAATCATTTTGTAAAAGAAACAACACATCAACAAATAAATCGTCCTCCCTCTTATAAGGTTGATGACCTTCGCATTAAAGATGTCAGGTTCCGACCCGGGTGGCAGGAGCCAAGCCTCGAGGACTTTTGTGGATCAGGTAGATATAAAAAATAATCATTTGGTTCCTAGATTTTTAGGGAAACTCAAGCGATGGCCTCCAATCTAATAGCGATGACCTCCACCACCCTGATAGGACATCATACAGCAGAAAGAGTGGGATGGCGAGTTCCTCCGGGTCTACACGGCACCAGTGGGTCAAAAATCTGAAGCTTCCCAAGGTCCCTCTGGGACGTGCAGTTGACACTGTGGAATCTTCTAATTCCCTAGGCCCTAGGCCTTTTGTATCCACACACAAAATACACAAATAGCATGGCCGAAAGGGTGCTTTGCTCTACAAGCAAGTGTATGTATGTACGCATATAAAAATCAAGATGTAAGTACTTCCGACTACTAAGCTGGTAGCGTCTGATATCAAACCCATCGGAGCAACCTGAAACACCTATTCTGCCCTGCCCTTTACTATGCCCCTTGGTGTACTATAGTACTATGGCTGAAAATAGGCTCCAGGTTTGCAAGAAGACTTGTCGTTCGGTTGGAATGAGCGTGGCTCCATGCGGGACATACCAGATCCTCCAAACGAGATCCCCAACAGTCCACGGACAGTACATCATGTTCAATCAAAGGAGTAGGTCCAACCAGGGTCCGACATGAAGTGTGCAAGACCGGAGACTCTTCTTTTAATCACTACGCATCATTGGGCGAGCAGTCCTCATGCAACTCTGGCCATTCAAACTTGGCTTCGGCGGTGCATGGGATCTCTGGGATGATTTGTACCAAGCAACTACACCTGTACCCAAAATGCTAGACCTCAATCCATCTGAATCTCTGTTTTGCAAAAACAGTTGTCAAACATAGTCAAACCCGAAAACCCCGTTTGAACCGTTTGCTGGACCATCTTTTCGGGTTCATTGCACAGTGAAGACTGGCAGCCGAGATACTTTCTGTTCCAACATCGATGCCTCGATGCCGTGGTGCGCTTCAAAAGTCGTTGCTGTTGATTTCAAACTGCACCTCCTCACCAAGCTGAGTGGTGAATGTCGCTGGGCGCCCGCCCGAAAAAGAAGCGCCATCTTCGTGGTCTGTCGATCTTCCAAGAATCGAGTCGGTGTTCTTCCGTGTTCCTGCAAAAGTACTGTGGGAAATGCTGACCAGGGCTGTTTGGTGCTATCATTTCGTTCCACTGAACATATGTTCCTTTTTCTGCTCTTGGGCAACTGCCAGTATTTGAGGGCTTTCTACCAAGCTGTCAATATACAAATGCAACTATATGTAACTTTATCATACTTGTTATTCAGCACATTTGTCATGTTATTCACTGATGCCTCTTGTGCTTTGTTGATGTACACAAGCAGATTTCCCACTGTGCCTTTTACCTCACTGTCCTCATGTCAAGCCTGTCGGGCAACAAGAACTATGCATCCACAAAGCTATGAACAGAAACGACATGTGTGCGACCCCCCTTAGTTTCAAATCTAATCTAGCTGCGACTATGTATCTTGATGTATCTTCCGTCGCATGACAAATCATGCAGAACCCTCAGTCAGAACCTCTATGAGTCAGTCTCACTGCCAAGGAGATGGTCTGCCCTGCCTAGCAGCAACCAGATCTATTGCACAGATCCATCACTATTGCCATAGGGCAGGAATCTACATAATATCACCTGTCAGTCTTTGTATGCCATGCACCCAAATACGGGGGAAACAACGATTTCTGCACGTGTCCAAATGGGGTGCACTATGCGCTGCTTTCGTTGGTCGCACTTTTTTCATCAACATCTCTGTCTGCGCTTACCTGCCCATGTATCCAGCATTCACATTCAACACTTAGGCGTCTTTCTAATATGAATATACAGTTTCAACGAAGTGACTCTCCATGAAACATACAAAACTCTTCCACGTTCTCGCACCAGGACCATGTACCTAAAGTATTCCCATTGGCAACAATGCATATAACATCCATCCATCATGTCTATTTCCTGCTAAGCTGTGCGCGTCTCTGCATGTCCAATCAATGTTCAGTCCATCTAAGGACCATACTTCAAGCGTGCCTAGATATCTGCCTCCAAGTGCATTTGTGCAGTTCCTATCTAGCACCCATAGAACCATATCATGGATGTAAAGATATCTCTGTATGTGTCCACCTCACTCTTTATTCACCTTCATCTACCGACCTATGAATCAGTGCATGCCAATCCAAAGTCCATGAACATCCTCTTCTAGTACATACTAACCAATTCCAACCAATCTTCAAACGCAAGATCCGACAGTCCAAACCAACGTCTCACTGGCCGCAGGCTTTGCAGGCTTCAAGGCTTCGTCAGCTACGAACTGGGCGGATGACGCAGTATGCCGGGAGCGCAAATATAACCCCTGATGGACATGGTGGAACTGATGTCCACCCAGGATACTGAGCGTAAGGTTTGGTAGTTGAGTCATAATATATAGTTCCAAAATTCAATCAATGGTCAGTTTTTTTGACACTCCCCAGATTGCATCCTTTACAAATAAGTACATCTAATTACAATAACGTCATTGCTAGACCTTTTTTGGTGGCCACGAGTACATTCCCCTGCCATCAAAAACATATTATCCCCGGCATCAGCCTCAGCTGTTGAAACTTTGTCATTTTGTTTTTCCCAAAACAACGACAACTTGTTGTTTTTGTGCGGGGTCATCTGCCATCTGCCAACCTTTCGAACTATGTTCAATTTGCCACAGTAGGCAATTTTTCATGTTGTCATGTTTGGATGTTCACAACAAGTCTGGTTTGCGTGTTTTTGTTGGATTGGTGGAACGTTGTTGGAAGGACCGGGGGTGGTTGTGGGGATCAAACCGGACACCCTTCCGTCCTTGGGCACATCCAACCCCAAACCACCCAAACTGAACCAAATGGACACCCCTTCCCCCCTTCCGAAGAAATGTCGATTGGTCTTTCGGTGCGTGGTCACACACGAATTCCACGCAATTAGTCGTGTAAGCGACTCTTGTAGGATTGGACACACCAAAAACCAAAGCGAAGGCAAAGGCCGAATTGGCCGAGACCCGGGCAAGCATCATTTGGCGCCTAGGCTAGCCAATCGTCCAAATGCCCAGCGACACAGGTGTTTGCATGCACCTTGCCCATGTATACTGGTATTTGCATATAGATACTGTATATATATATAGAAAACTATATATATATATACACATAATTATACATTGGCCACCTCAAGCCATTCAGTGCTCAAGCAGGCTGCCTTGTGCGGACATCTTTGGCGTTTCTGATGGTTCTGAAGCCATCCTGGGTCTTTGGCCGTGATTGTGTGGGACCTCCTCGGCATCACTTCATCAAGGACTCTCTGCACCCGGTGATCATCTTCACCAACCTCATTTGGGACATCTGCCCGTGATCCCACACCTTTATTTTTGCTTTCGTGATGATCACGTTTGAAAGGGAGAACGTAATTTGAAGGAGATGGTGCAGATCCTATCAAGTCTGCTCTTCGAAGACCTGAATCTGGGAGGATAGGATTCGTGAGGGCTACACCTGTCAGAAGTGTGGCACGCATTGGAGCAAGCCGTTTCTCCATACTCCAACACCCAAAAGATAAATAGACAACCTTGGGGAAAACGCTCAAGGCTGTGGCAGCTCTGCTCAGGGAAGTTCACGATCTGGAAGATTTTGAGGTAGCCAATTTACTGTCAGCTTGCCCTTCTTGCGCGATGCCACCACAATGGGCAACAGCTTATGATTGATTTGAAGAGGAATCAACATTTGGTTCGCAACCACCTTGGTTTTATCAGGAGAGGTTGATCACTTCTCGGTCAACAGTTAATACCTTCTTGCTTTCCCAGGTTTGAGTGTTGACCAGCATCTTCAGGAACACTGTGCACCTGTGCTTTGGCAATGCGGTCCTCCGTCAATGGTGCTGGCTTGGGCTTTCGCTGAGCAGTCAGGCCTGGAACCGTTTAAGGTAAGCGGTCCGACAATGCCTCTGTCAGTGATGATTTGCCACAGAGTATCACTGGGCTGCATTTGGTGTGAATCACATCTGGAGCAACTTCACGGAGCGCCAGCAAGCTGACGCAGCAGGAGTTCATGGACAACTGTGGACTGTGGAGCTTTGCAGCGGGCACTTTCGTTGGCGGCAAGTTCTTTCGTGTCACCCCTGCTGGAGCCTTAGATGAAAGGGAGCAAGTCCCGCTTCACCTTGTTTCCACTATGGGCCCTGAACCCGTGCAACTTGATGCGCTCATCACGGAGTGGGCAAATGAAGGCAATGGCCAGTACCTGTACGGAACCGCTGGAGGTCTGGTTCTTCAACTGCAATGTTTTCAATTGGTCAAAGACATTTGGCGGACATTACCACTTTGGCTTCTATGCCTTCTCTCCAACGATGATGTACACATCCACTTGGCTCGCTGTCGTATTGTCAGGTTGGTTCTTCATGTGGGGCAAGGACATGAAAATGGGTACTACGTGCAATCCTTGCCATGGACAATGTTTTCTGGATGGTGATGATGATACATTATCCACACCCACCCCACACCTCACCGCTGAACATCCTGCCCAAGTTGTCCAAGTGTGGAATGTTCACGATCGTCCTGATGAGGTCATGCCTGAAGAACTTGAGGACATTCAATAAGAAAAGAGCACAAAGAGCAGCAACGCAGCAACGTCATCTTCTGTCGGTGGCAAGGAGGTTCAGGATTGGGTTTTGGTCCAATGATTTGGGCATTTCCACTTTCTCCAAGAAACAGGCTTAGGCAGCTTTTTTTGGTACTTCAACATTCGTGGATGGAAGTGCCATGGTTTGGAAGCTGGAGGACTCTTGGTCACGCACAGCCCACATCCTCATCTTCACCTTGCGCAACACTACCTCAATGAAGGCAACGTGGCAGTTAAGAGGAAACATTTTGTGGCGATCATCGTGCAGGCTTATCTGCGCACCGGAGAATCCCATCAGTCTCCTCTCAACGCTGACATCATTGGGGTGCCCTCCACTTTCTAGACTTGTTGCAGGCTCCTGTCATCATGGGAGGTGATCGGCAGAACCCACCAGCACTTGGCTGCGACTGCCCCCCTGGTTGGTCGCATCAAGTTGGAGAGGAATTGGGAAGTTTTGTTAAAGCCTTATTGTGCTCTCCTTCTTCGCCTTGATTGTCTTCAGGCTCTTGAGGAAGTCCTTTAGCGTCAGTGCTTTCCGTCAATTGGCAAAGCTTTGAGCTCACCGTGTCCTGGAGCAACTTCCTTGAGGGTAATGGACCTTTCGCCATCACTGGCCTTGGCTTTGCACAATGGGCCACGCAGACTGAGAAGCATCTCGCCCAGAGACTTCATTCTCCACAGCTTGGCAGGGTCTCCAACATCTCCATGCGCAGTGGCCCTCCTTTCTGGCGCCTCCATTACTCTGGCAAGCCATTCAAGAACAGCTCTCTGGGGCCAACACCAGCCTGGAGTAAAAGACCTGTCTTCGACGGGCAAACTGGGACCCCCGCATCTAATTCATTCAATGAGGCCCTCCGGAGTGATGCAAGCGCCGTAGCTATGACCTGGCCCCTATCCTTTCCAGCAGGAGATCATGAGGACACTCCCCAACAAAGCGGTGGGACCAGACGGGGTCGGCCATGACTTTCTTCAACAACTCTCTTTTTCTGCAGCTGAAAAGTTGGCCTCTCGTTTGACGAGGATGGAAGGAGAGTCCTTGCTTCCTGTTCAGCTCAGGGTGGTCAACAGTGTCCTGCTGAGGCCGCATCACAGAGGGCAAGGTCGAGCTCACAGGCAAGCTTTGAAAGGCATGTACAGCGACTCCCTTGATGTTTGCATAGACGGAACTTCTTTGCGCTGGAAAAACACGTGCAAAAAGAAATGGCCGTTGGCAGGAGATAAGCAGCAAGCCTTCATCTTGCATGCCGGTACATACCAACTACTGCACATATCTGCACATGCATGGCAGGTAATACAGTATACAGTATACACCTCGGAGACTACCTCGGAGCTCAGTTCCTTCTCGATCGGCGTGAAACCCTGTGCCAATGGGGGCAACATACAAACAAACGTCAGGAGCAAATGCGATGGTTTAGGTCGGTTGAAATATGTTCTTCAAAACAAGCAGCGGTGGGAGTGGGAAACCCCAGCGGAGTGCACCCGGTTCATCAACACATCCTGGACCTCCCTGTCGCTACCAAAAGCAGAAAAAGGATGAAAAAGGCAGTCCTTGACAAATTTGAGGGCGATTCTTTTTCCCGAATTTGGAGAGGTATGGAAAAAAGAACTCAACTCAAAGGTGTTTGACGTCCCAAACAACAGTGACGTGCAAAAAACTGGTTCCCCGGCTTCCTAGAGATCGTCGAATGGTTGCTTGGACCACCAGTCGCCATCTGACCATCTGACAAAACACCTGACAAAACACCATCAAAACTCCTTGTTCAATTCCAACTAAAATGTGATGAATCTGGCTTCAGCTTGGTGTTGAGCGTGGGGGGTTGGAGACACGCCGACGATGTTCCCTGGGCATCTAACATTGAGATGCAGCAAGTTGGTACAAACCACTTTCAACATAGATCATTTTTTTAGTGGAAATTTATATATAGTCCATTAAACGCTGAAACGTAACTATTCAAATTTTCGTAAACATTTCATAAAATCTGGCGTAAAAATCATAAAATGTCCGTAAACATCCAGAATTCATAAAATTTCATAAATGTTTTTTTTTTTTTTTAAACAAGCTTTTCATAAATTTTGAGAAACATATGACAAACTCTGAAACTTTTATGAAAACAACTCTGAAACATGGTATAGACAAATGTATATTTTGTTCACAGAGCTAATTTGTTTTTTGTTTTTCTTTTGCTATTTGTTTTTATGATTTCATATATAAATTTGGTTAGTTGTATTGGTTTTCATAAGTAAAACACAACGAAGTCATTCAAATCATACCAGACAGGTCTCAAATCTAACACATATTTGCAATCTCTTGGCTCATCCAGACTAGGTGTGATTGAGCAATCAACTCTCCGGTAAGAACCCACAGGACCCAGGTCCAGGTGACCAATTCAGCCATGATGCAGCCAGCATGGTGCCTGTGTTCGGCATTGCTGGCGCGGAGTCGCCTGCCATCTTGATGATTCAACCAGGAGTCTTTGAAAAACTGTTCAAATAAAACACAAAACATACCCCCTGCGAAATGAACCTATATCGCCTATATGGTAGATCAATGCCCAATCGTTCAAGGCAAAACAAGGAACACTTCGTTGACCAGTTTCGTTCCACTCTGGAGTGCAATACATGTTCTGTTTCCTGCATGTATTGTCATCAAAACACTCAAAGGACTCAACCCTCTACATGATTGCTCAAGCCTCTGCATGATTGCTCAGTCCTTTCAAGGGTCCGAATTATATTGACCAAATTCAATTGTTGCCTTTTTGCAGGGATGGTCAGTTTATTCGGTCTGTCGACTTTTAGCCAAAACTATAGTTGATTTGTAGCAGCAGTATCCTCTTCCAAACACATCAAGTACCTGTACCTGTACACTACTTTCCTCAAACATGGAGTGAGTGCCTTATCCACCACATGCGGCCCACCACGTGCCTCCCCCGAGCGCAAGCGGCGCAAGTTCGCCCTCCCCTGGTGTGGCAATGATCTGTGAGCTCACCCCAACCATGGCAACATTCCATTCCATGTTCCCCTTCTACGGACGGTGCTTCCCTGGTGAGTAGGGCGGCACCTAAGTAAGGCACCTGGAAGATTTTTGCAGAAATCTACACCTGGTCAAAGGGATGGTTTTGACATGTTTTGTTTTGTCGTTGGTTTACTTGGGACAGAGCTTTGTATCTACCCCTAAGACCTGTGGATAGCATTGGATAGCACATGTCTCAGAGATGGGATCAGGGCAACCGAAAGTTGTAGTTCATTCAACACTAGTCGTGATATGTGGTCATTCTTCACTAGAAGGCAAACACGAGAAAACAAACAATAAGAGCTAACTGTGGTTCCCCTGTCCCAGAAGATGCCCGACACTATGCGAGCAGTTCGCGAGCCCTCTATCGGCACGAAAACGAGGAAGTTCTTCTCGGAAAAAGTCCAAACCATCAAAACGGTGTCACCTTGAGGTCCAAACAAAAGTCCAAACAAACAAATACAAACAATCAAGTTCAAGCAAGGAACCATCTCACAAAGTATGATTACGAACTGACCAACTGACATCATCTTCAATGGCTGTCGTCCATGTACCAAAGCATTGCCTGGATACCCACCATCTCAGTTCCACCAACGAGAACATCCACTTGCAAAGTTCTCGCTCCACTCGAATGTCCGAAGAACGGCTTCGCGGTCGCCCACCGAAGGAGCTTCCGATGCATTCCAACTCGGGATGAAAGCCGATCGTTTGGATCGGCAGCTGAGGTCCTGCAAGCCCCGGTGCCAGGGCACACGAGTTGTCTGACCGGAGCATGTTGAATGGGAGTTGCAGAGAGGGGGGTGCCCCTAAAGAGATTTGAACAGATTGTTGATGTTGATGTCTAAAAGGGGGTTGACTTCCGATGCGCTTGGAGGCAATAAGAAAAGTAAAGCAACAAGCACATACATAAAACGTGGCTCCCCTGACCAGGATATCCTGCTTCAACTACAGCGTAGGACGTGTCAGGAAATGTTAGGATTCAGGATTATCTTTTTCCTGATAGGATCGTCGTGCTTTTTTGAGTTTGTTAGGTTAAACGACTCCTGAACTCCGCTGAACTCTGCATCCCTAGGAGCAGTGATATGCCTCTGCTGAAAAATGACCGAGCAATGTCTGCTTCCTTCCAGACTTACCCCTGCATAATAAGAAGATTTCTGACAGCTCGTCTCAGCTCTGGTTAGCCTGCTCTGAAAAGGAAAAAGACACATGTGGATACACTTGAAGTGTGCCAACGTGCGGAAAACACGATTGCCGGTGTGCTCATGTTGGTGTGCTCCAGACCTCTTTTTTAAGCAACATGTGTTTCAGTTCTGGTACCTTGGACCGGTTGTGGTGGTTCACTGATTCTGAGACCCGGTTTGGGCCGATCCCAAGTGCAGAGTTGGATAGCTTGGATGACAAGCCCCACATGCGCAGTATTTATCACTTTGATGGCAAACGATGGATCCCTTTAGAATACTTTAGATAAGGACAAGGACTGGAAATCTGTTGGAATCTGGACACCTTTGATCGAGTAGGCAAAATGGCCCCAATTAATTAGGAGTCTTTGGGCCTAGGATTTTGGGAGCCCAGCTGTTCGCAGTGGTCTTCTCCTGCTTTGAACGTCCAAGTTCTGCAACCTGTTTCCAAAGGATTCAATTCACCGGGCTCAAACATCACGGCCCCCGCAATCCGACAGGAGCTGCCTCCAGACCATTTGGCTTCGGCCAAATCTGCACGAGGGGCTGACAACCAGGGGCATCTGTGTCTTGATATGCTTCCTACAAAGTCAGTAAGGAGCAGAATCGTCAAAGAGTAGAGTCGAGCCCACCAGCGCCAAGACCACGTGAAACCCGCTAGTACGGTGCAAGTGACCTGTGTTCTCTGATAGACATCTCTGACCTGCCTGCAGTATTCATACAAACAAGCAAGGCTTCAAGAATCTCTGGAGGAAGCCTACATACCAACTTCGCTGATCAGGAGGGTATGTAAAGACAACAACAATAATGTACGAACCCATAAATCAGACTCCAACATCTTTCTTGATGCTAAACTACAAGGAGGAAGCTGTAGATGATCTATCTTTTGAACAAGTAGTAGTATGGTTGCAATGTTTGCACTTCCACCTTCATCTTCATGCAATTGCCCAGAAGAAGTTCCAGTGGGGAAGACATCTTATCTGTTGGCTGATATGGAACGATCAGATTGAACCAACACGTGTAGACAGTTCACCTACCGCTGAGTTCTACCCGAGACCAAACTCGTTTTTGGTATATATTGTTTTCCAAATTCATTCAAGAGAGAACACATCCAGCCAGGTGACAGCAACACCTCCTGAATCTTGAACAGAAACACCATCCTTCCTTTTGACGGCGCACTTGTAGATATTCTGGGGAAGTCTGCTGGAAATCAAACGACATGAACACCCCGATGAACATTGGTGGATGACTATCCCCATGGTTGCATTCTCAGACATTTTCAATGCGGCAAACGAAGTAACAAGCTGCCATTTGTTCGATTATTATCTCATGACTCATGCTCACGTCCGCTTGAACCTTCTAAACATCGTCGGTTTCCAAGTCATGCTTGCAAGGTGTTCGGAAGTTGTGCCCCCTAGTAGCGTTCTTGCTTCTAGTAGTAAGGCCAGGAGCTACTAGTAGCATCCTTGCTCCTAGTAGCGATGCTAGGAGCCCCTAGTAGCGTTCTTGTTCCTCACTTCTCCGCAAGTGGAAGATTGGAGGAAGGAGCACGGCCCGTAGACTCAAACTCAGAGTCCGACCATTGGAACCCAACACCGTCGCAAAACATGGAAACCAAACCGAACTCACATACAACGGTCCAAACATCACCCTTATCTATCATATCTTATCTACAGGGATTTGTGTCTGATATGTTGACCTGTATCCTCCCATAACCATTGTAGACGTTTCTCACTACCTTCCTGACTTCTCGATGGATTCTTAATGTTCGGACCCAGTATATACCATCTTCAATTGTTTGGGTGCCCGCACGTACCGTGTGCGTTCGTGCTGGTGGCGCGGGGCCAACAGCGGTGCCTATTGGGATTGCAAAGGTGCGGAAATCAAAGCAAGTGGGTGTCTCAGTCTATCTCAGTCTCAATAGCAAAACCCCAGGAGTCCTAAAGGGTTTGTTTCTAGGTTCATTGGACACACCTAGCTTCGGCATATGGGAACTTCTTACAATGAATATCCAACGGATCTAAAACGGATGGACATTGACATTAGAACTTCCTCCTAAATCCATCTGGGATCCTCAGGGAGACAGGGAAATGTAGTCGAGTCTTGCCTACGTTGCCATGGGAAACCTCCCGCATTTCCAGGTGCGGGATGGATGTGATGTCATAAAGAGTATGGCACGGGGCAGGCCCTTATGCTGTCTTGGTCAATTTGTCGACGTGTCGATCTGAACCATGTTCAAAAAAACACATGTTTGTATCATCCCCTATCGTGTTCCAGTAGGGAGCACATATATACAGGGTATTGTTCAGGGGTGTTGTCACTACTAGCAATCGACATAGACACTGTATCTGTTCAAGTCTCTTTTTCTCTACAACGGGCCATGCTGCATGTCCATGTCAATGGGCAAACGGCTAGAACACATAGAGATCATAGAGCACATGCGCTTGCAGTCTCTCTGACTTTGCTGCCGTGGTCTTCCCATGAAACACACACACACAAGCACACTCAAGTCTCATCAGGTCTTATATATAATACTATACCTTCTCTAGCACCCGATTTTACAATGCGTCGATGCAAGGTTAGCAGCTGCCGACACCGAAGCATTCGTTCCAGGATGTCTGAAAACCAAAACAAACCGACAAAATGTTGCAAGATGGAAATGTAGCCACATCCGCGAAACTGCTCACCTTTGATATTCTTTGATTGACCTTTCATGGATGTTGAAAGACCCCCCAAACAAATCGCATCCTAGATCTTTGGTCTCAGCCAGTCTGCAAGCTGTCGTGCACCCCCAACTCCAAGTCCCCGGCTATGTGGAAGGGGGTCCACTTTGTCTCCCCATGGTACACCTCGGTGAGGCGTGCACCTCACGGTGATCCTCCTGTGCTTCACGGTGTCGACCCCCCAGCTCTACACATGGGTGACCCGTGACAGGTGACCCCGGCCGATGGCTCGACCTCGATCTGAGCTGATGATGGCTCACCTGGTGAAACCATTCAGCTTTACTTTGTAATCAGTGGTAACCAGTGGATGGAAACCAAGAGCGCCTCCTGGGCCCTGCTTGCAGTTCCGATACCAATCCTTTGATACATCGGTCTACAACTAGATGCTTTCACGTTGCAACCCTGCGACAACAAATATGAAACATGTATATGTCCACCATGACATTGTCACCATAGCCATGCTGGCGAAACACTGCTCCGTTTTCCTCATGAATGACAGCCATATCAATCCACTGCATGGTCGCATGTGAAACATCGTAAAACACAAATCCAAATTTGTACCTTTTGCCAACAGCAATCTAGCTGTAAACGAATCGATTTGCCCCGTTGGATGATCTGCACATGCGGCATTTGTAAAGTGCAAGTCTCCGTCTGGAACGAAAACATCTCGGTAATGGGATGTTCCAGGTGCTCCCCCAATCAACTCAGAAACTCTTCTGGGGATAGTGTGGAAAAGAACTGGGAAGGTTTGGATTGCCCAGATCATTGACAAGGTTTATTCCGTTGAACACACAAAAAAGATTATAAAAAAGACGTAGAAACATGTTGAAACTAGTTGAACATAGTTGTTCCCCTGTAAAGAAATAAACATGTTGATCGACAAACAAATCATCGAGTCTCACGGTACAACACAAACAATTCCCAGCCAGTGGGGCCCTCCAAATTTTGGGAGGCAACCGATTTCCACGCAAAAGGCAAACATATCCCCGGTCCTGCTGACGAATCATATTCCAACACCAAAATCCAAGTGTCTACTTCTAGGCCCGTGGCTCGAAGAGGCTGCTGGCACTGGTGGGCCTCTGGAAACCGATCTGGCCAAACGTCCGCCATCGTCCGTCATCGATCTGGCTTATGGGCAAGCCCATGCGAAATACATATGAAAAACCATCGAGGAAGCGGAAAGTGCATGACGTGTCTTTCTTATTCTCACATTTTTCCTTGTGGCTCCACAGCCTCGAACTGATCAATTCATTGGATCAAGTCTTAACCTTTTCGGAGGGATATCCTCATTGGAGTAACGGGGAGACCTTGAAAGAACATGTTGTAAATATAACTTTTGGAACACGGACTTTGGCACTGCAAAGTCCAAGGCCTTCAAAAAGAAACATGTGCAAAATTATAGGGTACGAACTTGTTACATCATACCTAAGTTCCTCAGAAAATGAGGTAAACGCAGTGTCATATCGTTTTGTAGTGGAATGACTGGTCGCTGCTAAAAGGGTCAAGCGAAGGGTGGGTACTATCATTCTATGCAGAAATCAGCTTTCGCTGCTCTTCGATTACAGCAAAGCTCAAAGAGTCTTCAGGCATCCAAACGCATGTGCACTGCTTCATAAGTATGTCAATAAAGTTGCTATCCTATAGAATGAATGCTCTTAGAAAGGGCGCACCATAAAATGATGGGTCCCGAAGAAATGTCCAGGCCGAACCCCAACCTTTGAGCCATGAAGATTTTCTGCCCATGACAGCAAAGCCCTGAATCCAAAAGACCAGGTGAAGGCCTATCATTTTGTAGCGAGAGACATGGGCTCATATAAGTTTGTAGTAAGCCACCCAAGAAAACCCATGTGAACCTCAGCAGTTTTTAGGGTGGTAAAGCTGGTCAAGGAAGAACCAAAGAAAAAGCTGGCCAAGGAATACTTGTGAATACTTGCTTGAAGCAAGTGCCATGCCCTGTGAAGCAAGACGGACGAACAACTTAAGCTTGAGGTTAGGGCGGTGGTGCTGTCCTCGGCATGCTTGCCCAAATGTCTGCCGTTAAGACATGGGAAAGGTATGCAACGGATAAGAAAAGGTTTGCACTTACAAACTTTTTGGGACTTTTCCAAACAAAGCTTTTTGTAGCAGTAGGTGTGGTGGCATACGATTTTGCAACCATTGACTTTTGACATGCTTGACCTGCTTCACGGCAGTATATATTAAAGGTAAAGCGTTTCGAAGGGCTGCAGCAACTGACCATGCTTTGGCACCGTCTGCACACAAAGCAGCACAGATCTCGTGCGAACATTCCGAAGTAATTAAATAAGCCTGAGCTGACTATATGTAGTCTCCTGCGTCGGCCGCAGGTATCTGCTTCCTGGGGTTCTTTTTTCGATATAGACTAGAGTACTAGTTTCAAAGAGTTGCGACTTAACATGCCGTTGGAGTTGGAAGTGGCCACTTTCACTCCGCATGTATTAAATGTTATCTCTGTACGTCATGAAAGTTGATAGAATATGGACCATACTATTCATACAGTTATTTCTCCCTCTTCTTGAGGGGTGACAGTTCGACTTCAGCTGCGAACAGATGCGTGGGCCTCGCTTCATGGCAAAGACCTCTGACACGCCTCAGGAGCATTTTGGGAGGCCTCTGACACGGCTGGATGCGCTTTCGAGTCTGGACTCCAAACTCATAGACTGTCGGAGTCCTCTGTCTGCGCATTCCATCACATTATACAAAACTATCACTTGAAGAAGGTAGGTGGGGTGCGCAAGTCCTCTATGTATAGACTGTAAACCCACCCCCAAACATAGGAAACGCTTCGAGACGAACTCACTGAATCGAGGATCCTTGGTCTTGGTGATCGAAGCTGCCCAGGCCGTAGTCGGGTGGAACATGAGACGGGTCTCGATGATAAGCTGTCGGTGTTGTTGCGCTGGCCGTCTGAGTTTCAATTGGATGAACCATCCATCTTCATCAAAGTGAAAGGACCCCACATACCAAATGTGCTTTCAATGGTTTCATGTTATTAGCAAAGTCCCAGGTTAAAGACACACACACACACACAAACAAATGAAACATCTAACAAAATGAGTACGGATCCTTGGACTTCACTGGATCTGACAAGCGGGTTTGACCAGATCTGACAGTGAAAGGCCATCGCCTCGTAAAGACTAAGAAGCTCCTAGGGGCTCCTGGCCTTTCTACTAGGAGCAAGAAGCTACTAGGAACAAAGGGCAACGCTACTAGTAACAAGAAGCTACTAGGGGCTCCTGGCCGTACTACTAGGAGCAAGGACGCTACGAGGGGGCTCCTTTAATCGCATGGGACCCTCGAAGGCCCGAGCTGAACTTTGACATCGGCGCGTTTGGCAGGGGCGGTGGCGGCGGCGGGCTGCGACCTGTGGGCCACCATGGCAAGGGGGCACATGAACCATGGCACACCGGGAAATACACCTTGAGAGATTTCGCGATCAACTCTAACCAGTGGGTTTTTCATCGCACCTTGTCCTGCAATTACTGAGCCTTCTCAGTTTTCCTGGAAACAGTTTCCCTGGAAAAGGATTAACTAAGGTCAACCTTTTTCCACCTGTTGCACCATCCACGCAGTCTTAAAGACTACAGACTCTGAACGCTGCATCAAGAGTCACAACGAACAAAGTGGGTGTTTGCACTCGAAAACACCAGGGAGTAGCCTGGCCCAAAGGAATGTTTGACAATCGGGGATTGGATTGATTTTGGAGTCAGAAAACGGTTGGCTCCAGATTTTAGCCTTTGGAAGCGCTTGTCCTAGAAGGGTATTGTCTAGTGGTTGGACATCGAGATTGAAGCTCTTTGGCGGGGCTGCTTCAAATGTCCACCAGTGTCAAATCAGCTTCCATCTGGATTTAATCTATCGACAATGCGTCCACACATGTGACCGGCAAACTTCCACAAACCGGCTTTTCACACATTCTCTAAAGGTTGGACGGCTCATACTTCACAATCTCCTTCTTCGTGTTTGGCTTTGCCAAGGGACACATTGCCTCATAATGGTTTGTTCGGGCGAAGTATTTACACTTCAGGCCCCCACACAAATGAATGGATCAAGGGCGGCGGTTCAAAGCGCCTTTCATTTTCATGCTCTTGATCAGAAAGCACTACTATGGGGCGCAGAAGGAGGTGCGCAAATGCACACAAGGTCAACTCGTTCCCCCCAGGTGTGGGGACGTGCGAAAGAGCGGAAGTGGGATGCAATCTTGTCTTCAAAATAGCCAGAGCAGTGCTTCAAATACTGCACCACTTGACTTCTGAAATCTTAGGGGTCCACAGGTAAGCCGGCGCTGAACACAATGGAAAGAAACTGACAATTGCCCTGCGCAGCCGTCTCAAGGCGTTCGAGTCCAAGAGCGTCCAGCCTAGGCTTCATCGCAGCGATGCTAGCCAGACGTTTATCTTTCGCAGCTGGGTTCTCTTCCAACGAGAGATGAATTGCCATATTGAGCTGCTGCTCGCCGAGCTTGTCAGAAGCTGATGCGAAAGCCCCTTCCAATGAAGTCCAACAAGCTTCCAGCCTCTCCGGTTTCTTCATTTCATGCCTGTGCTGTTTGCAGAAATTGCCATGAGTTCTGGGGCATTTGCACCTTTGACCTTTCACCAAACTGGCTAGGCAAAGAGCATCGTCCATGCAGTCTGCACCAATGCAGAGACTGTGAGCTGGTTCATTTCCTTGAGCTGGCAAGCCCGGAAGAAAGTCTTCAGCTTTGGGAGGATTGGGAAGCACTATTGAGTCACCAGGCATCTTCTGAGGCGCTCTGAGCATGACCGTGGTCTTTTCAGACTTGTTCCCTGAGAAGCCGCTTGGTAACAGCTGAAATCTAAAAGTCTGCCAAGCGCACCTACCATAGTCAAATTACCTCCAGAGTTCATTCTCTGGAGCAGCAAACGTAACGTAGCCAAACTCCAAAGATACAACAACTCATTGCTGTCACAGCACCAGTGGACCCACTCTGAAGTCAAGCCCTGAAGCATTGAAGTCGACAAGCAAAACAGACAAAATCCAAATCACAACTCTTCCAAAACACTGGCAAAGGAAAGGAAGGGTTGAAACTAGATTCTATCCACGTAAAGGTGGCAGGTGCCACTAGTAAAAATTGGATGGAGTCTGGAGTTAAGCCTTTTGAACTCCAGATTCCATCCAATTTCTGACATTCGTCCACAAGCCAGGAGCCGGTGCACCCCTAAATATATATATATATATAAATGATAGCCACGGCCCAAGAACAGCAAAAGAACACGAAAGAGCATCAAGTCTCCGCCAGAGGGAAAGTCCATTCTTTATTATAGCTACGCCCCCATACTTCACCAGAAAGCCGGCAAAGGACAAGCGTTCACTGTGACAGAAAGGTCAGCACCTTGAAGAAGGCCATGAAACACACCGACCAAGGAACTTGCTAAGATTTCCCACATGCCAGGCAGGGTGATTTTAGTGGGGAAACCCATCCCCCAAAAAGGTTAAAGGCTGTCCCCTGGCTGGTAGGATTATCAAACGTATGCAGAAACCCTGACTCTGGAAGCGACGCGGATGTCAACTACATTGGATGTCAAGAAACAAGGCGATTCATCGCCTCTGGCTATGTGTGGAAACCAGGAAACCTGAATTCCGTCGGACTGGGGACGTCCAATTGGGTCCGTCTTCAACCAAACCCATCTCATCAACCACAGGCTTCGAGACACTGCAAAGACTCAAAATCACTGCAAAGACTCAAAATCACTCAAACAAAACGAGTCCACCCCACCCCACCCCACGGCCAGTGCCTCGACTTGGAACGAACTCATGATCGCGCAAGCTACCTCCAAAAGAGGCGTACTTGGCGCAATTGCTACATGACAAACCATTAAACTCTGCAGTAAAGCAGTCACAAACTGATACAGAATCGACAACTGTATATTTTTTTAACCACAGAACTTGCTCCGCTTATATATAAATCAGTTCCAAATCAAGTTAACTCCTTTGTTGCCACAGGCTAAGTTGGAAAAAAGACTCTGAGACTGAAACCTTAGTTGTGGGAATTAAAGGGTTTTGTAATGTTTTGTACTATATAAGTCCCTTACAACCAAAAGAGTACACCTAAGGGGGTCCACCTGCCAGCTACCTGCTGTTGACCCTGAGCCAGGCTCGTGCATAGCGTTCCAAAGCCGAACCAAGAATTGTAAACACAAATGTCTACGTCATTGCGCATCTTTATGGGTGAAAGTTCCTGAGCGGAACCATAAAAGGGTAGCTATTTTGGGTACCATATATTAGACGCAGTAAATGTGTAGCTACATAAGTTCAGTCTGAGAACACACACACCTAGCGATGGACAACAATCCTCTGATTTAGGCGATTGCTTGGGCTTGAGGTGCTCATGTTGAGTAGACCAAAGTCCACGTGCCTGGTCAAACCCCAACCATGAACTACCTCCTCTTTTCCAAATGTGAGTAATGTGGTGTGTAAAGACTGATCTTCAGAACCAACCCCAATCAATGTATGTTAACCTGCTTTTCATTCACCTGCTGCTATGGATTGAACGAGCTCAAATGTTGAACGAGCACAGCCGCCCGCCCTGCCCTGCCACCTTGACCCTGAGCGAACTCATGATCGCGTGAGTTACCTGAACCAAATGCGCACGGAGATAAGTGCGATTCATTCACAACCTTCTTTTGGGCCTTCAACGCCTGTGGATTGACAGGAAGCCAAGAGGAACTCAAAGGACACGGTCTTGGACAAGGCAAAAGAGTGAAACCTGTGAGCCTGAGCTTTGCTCAGCCACGCTCCCCCCCCTGAATTTTTCTTGGGGATGAGAGGATGCCTCTCCTTCCCATACGGTCCATAAGTTGCGGCACCAACCATGTCAAGTCTTAAAGCTATGCAAACTCCTAAAGTCCTGCCATAACTTAACACCATCCTAGGCCTAAATAATGCAAAACATGTGTCCATGAGAAATAAAAGTAATATGTTTTGTGATTGTTTGGAAAATACGTTCTTGGTTCTTTATTTTCTTCCATCATTGGTTTTCCCTTTTAAGTGCTCAATGGTTTATCATTCATCAAAAGTTTGGTGACTTTCCCATTCATTTCTGATCGTTTCTGGTAGTTTTTTCCTTTAGACTTTGGGTGTTCCTTATCGCGTGCTTTGCTGACTCAAACAAATGTCTGCTCTCTACCATGCCGATGCACAGGTTGTTCATTGATTTTACATTGATGTTCTATGATTTCCCTGTTTGCTTTTGATAGCCTTCCATTGAATGATATTGAATGCATGTTGCTCTGTTGTGTCCCTTGCTGATTCTCAGCCAGATTTCTGCAGCCTATCATGCTGTTCCAGATTCTACGAAGTGGCTCCTCTAAACCACTAAGTAAGGCCAGTTGGGAAGTATTCCTTCTTATGTGTTAGATTCTCCAGACTGAACTTCATGTGCCAAGCACCCAAATGCTATCAGTTCACGCCCGTCCCGCCCACCCTGCACCTTGACTCTGGGCGACTTCATGATCGCGCGAGCTACCTGACAAAATTTTGCGCTTGGCATAACGTACCATATCCAAGATGTCAACACATTGTATCACATTGTGACTCTGTTAATAAGTGGCCAAAGCAGGTCCAACTCCTAACTGGATGGTAGTTTCGGATCATGTGTGTTTTGTTGGCTTATGCTACATAAATTAATAGTGAAACCCTTTAATTGAGCTACAACCAATCTGGTGATTGCACTGTTGCGCTTGTTCCTATGTGGTGCTCCCTTGGAGGAGGGCAATATCTTGCCTAGCAAGATCGTGTGAAAGAATGGTCCAGTCAAGACTCTCCCTCCCGTTCCTCGTGTGGCAGTTGGGACTTGTGAAGTCGTCATCAACCACATCCGAGGGGGGAACACTTTTCCACGGAACCCAAAACCGAAGGGTTTTCATCTCTTTCATTCACCAAAGCTAGGGTGCTCGGACACAACATGGAACTTTCCACCAACGTGTCTTTTTGCACATCAGGATCAGGGCCATCTAAAAATGCCTTTGGGACCGACGCCGAAGTGTTTCTGTTCTTTCAAGAAACATACAGGACGATTCCACACGGTAAAGCAGGCGTCTTTTTCCGTGGAGAATGAACTCTCAAAGTCTGCCTGGTTAAGGGCGGCGGTACCTAAGACCTAACACGCTCCTTAGTTGAACAGCAGTGTTAAATTAACACTGGGATAACAGTCGTGGTTGGAAAACTCACAGACTAGCTTTTTATGTCATCTTTGATGAACATACCTGATCACCCACTGTCAAAATATCACCCACTGTTCAAATAGGAGAGGAAAGGTTGAAGGTCCGTAGGCCGAGAAACAAAATATAATTCGACTGGGAAGGACAGTTCGCACAGTCGCCATGGTTGGGTACGGGTCCATTCGTCCTCGATACCCAACCTGGACAAACCATCAGAAGGGTTACTGGCGGAGTCGATCCATTCAATCCAAGGTCGAATCTGACGTTTCTGGAAAATCAAATGAGCTAACTGGACAATGGCATGAACGTCCTCTTGTCCACTGGAACCTTTAATTAATGAGGAAACAGCGGCCTCATTATCAACGAACCAGAGGAGATCACGACCGGCAAGGATGTCACCATGGACCCACGGCACGAGGAGTCCACAAAGTGTTTCGCCGGGGTAGATCTGTTGGTGACGTTCAATCCATGAATCAGTCACCTCGGATGGTACCAGGCATGAGACTCCCAAAGGAGGCGATGTCATGAGTACCCATCCAACCCGCAAGGTGCCCTTTTCAAAAGAGGCATCCGAATAAATTACCAGGGGGGATTTGGTGGCTGAGCACACCTCAATATCCCGGGGCCTGGCTTCGTGAAGCATGATGCTGAGGAGGCGTAAAGTAGTAACCTCAGCGTCTGCTAGTTCAGGAGTGGCAGCGTGCTGTTTGGCGGCCAACACTGGCCCTGCGAAGCGGCCAGCTTGCCCTGCGCACATGCTGAATAGCCAGTTGAGGTCGCCACGAAGCTTCCCCGCATCATCGGGTCGGAGGTGTCGGGTAGCGATAGCCTCGCGGAGCTTGGCTTGGACCTTCCTCGTAGTAGAGGTCTTTGGTTGGAATCTGATGACTCCTAACCAGCCAAAGTCTCCTACGTGGACTGAAGTCCCGAGGTAATGTCTATTAGGTGCTGGCACAAAACTTTTGGAGCTCTGGGGCGGTGCTCCCAACAGCCTGAAAACCAACTGGAGGCTCCGTTGGGAGACATCGTTGTCACGAATGCACTCCACCGATAGCTCGTCATCAAAGTATGCAGCTGAGCACCCTAAGAGACATCTACGGGTGATGGCAATACCCAGTTGTGGGAAGCGATTGAAATTCACCACCGCGCTTTCGAGACCGTAAGCTAGACCCCACATACATGTAAATCTCCAGCCCAATGAAGGAACGAAAATCGCAACATTAGAAAAGGGAAGATGGGAGTCAGCGACGGGCAGGCCCCGGTAAGCGTCGGGAAGATCATCCGTACCCAGACGGATATCAAGCCACTTGGGAGGTGAGCCTACCGGAAAGGGCATTTCAGAATGCAACATACGGGCTACTGAAGCACAGAAGTCAACATTGACAGTTGAGATCGTTTCGTGCATTGTTGTATGAGCATTATGACCACTTTTCCGAGCATTGTCAATGGCTCGTTTCTTCCCATCCGGTTGGATGATGAGGAAACGTTCCACGAACCTCCACCCCCCAACACCGAAAAGATCATCCATTTCCCGTGCGGCGCGCAAAGGAGAGCAAAACCCTTTTTCAATCTCATCGTTAGTCAAGTCCAGGATGTCTTGGACATGCTCCGGAGGGCGGGTGCGAAGGAGGCGATCTAAGTCAGCCTCGGCTGCCGTCCCCAACCACTGGTCCAGGGATAGTTTTCCTTCCTGGACAATGGGTCGAAAAACCCCCGAGTGCTCCATGTCGCCCACAATGTCGAAGCCCAAAACCAGGGATCTTGCGAGCATCTTGTCCGGCCACCGTAACAAAGCGACCATGGTGGCCACAAAGGCTGGTCGTTTTCCCATCGCCACTTTCCGAGCACCCTGGCATCGAAAGGGGTTCAATGCCTCCTCCAGGGGAGTCACCGCCCGCGCCACCGTGGCCAGGACGTGGCGAAGCTTCTCTGCCCAGCGAGGGAGGGCTTGTCTCCAGGTTGCCACAGCCTGGATGACAAAGCTCATGTCCGGTTCAGGCCAGGGGCGAGGTGCAAAAGGTGAGGGCAGTTCCAAGGCAGCTGCAATATGCTCTTGCTTGCCCATACCCGGCGGGAGGAGGTGATCCAGGCCTTTGGCTGCATTGCTGGCATATCTTTGGCCCGTGAGACCAGCATAGATGGCTGTGCGTTCACGGCCCCAAACCGGTGTAGGGCCCAAGGTGGACCATGACTCTTGCCTGAGGCGGCGCCACATCGGGTAAGCCTGTAGCGTAGCGAGCTCACATGCCGCCAACCTCCGGGACACCTCCGGCCAGACTGCCTCCTGACATGGGAGGAAAGGAAAGGTGGCTTGTAATTCTGCACACACTTCACCTGCCGAGAGGATACCCGGCATAGTCGCCAACCTACCCGGGCTCCATACTGTATGGCATAGGCGTTCAGCAAGGCCTAACTCCTCCACATCAAAGGGCTGCTTTGTCAGCTTGGCCTCCATGATGGATGGAAGGCAGCACATAATCGCCATGACACTTGGAATATGGAAGCCGTTGCCCAGCAAAGAGTTTCGTAGCTTTGTTCGCTGGTCTTGTGAGCCCTGGACTGCATGGGTGGCGGCCACAGGCACACCCATCAATTGGGACCTCTCGTCTGGGGAGGGCTGTCTCCAGTTGTCACCTGACCACAACAGCGAATTCTCCTCATAAGCTGCCGGTGGGAAACGACGATTGTCCTGATGGAACCGTGCTGCCGCTGCCGGTGTCACTTGTGCCAGCCGATCCGTAGGGTGGAAGAACTCGCGAGTGAAAGGGTGCATAGCACCAGAGCCTTGCGCTTGCATCACTTGCTTGGGGTCCAGCATCGGCCGGAAGTGATCATCCCACCATACCTGAGCAGGGATAGGCTTCTTTCCGCAGTAGTGTAGGGTCGGATGTCAGCTCCCTGAGCCTTGCTGCCAGACCCAATCTGAAGGCGGCGTGCCCCTCGATGACAAACCTGCGCTGCGGGATGCCAACCAGTACAAACGGCGGCGGTGGACCCAGCCACACCCAGCCGCGTCGCTCAGCACCGGTTGAGCGCCCAACCATGTAGAGTACTGTTCACAAACGGACTGGGGCATACTGGCGACGTTCTCCAGGAATGTGATGACTTCACAGGTGCGAGCTTCCGGAAGGGCCAAAATCTCCTCCCGAAGGCGTCGGAGTTGGCTCGGTTGTTGAGATCTCGGGTCATTAAGACCCTGCCTGCCTCGGTTCAAGCTAGAGTTGCCTTGGCACGGGGAACCACCACCCAGGATGATGCCCCGTACTTGGCGCCGTTGCAAGAACTGGCGGAGGTCCGCTCCCTTGAGTTCCTCAACTGAGTCAATATACACCAAATTAGGCATTGCAGCCTGTGCAGCGGCACTAGCCACCGGGTCACTCTCAGCGCTGATTGCGTAGATGTGAACACCGAGGGCAAGCAATGCAATGCACAGTCCCCCAATGCCCGCCCAGAGGTCCAATACCAGCCAAGTGCCTCGAATAGATATACCCCAAGGGAACTGTGGCAGGTCTCCTCTGCCACGCCATGTCACCGGTTTTGCCCCGACCAAGCGGGTAGCTAAAGCCGAAGGGGTGAGCTCCATAGGCTCGCGCAAGGTGATCTGCCTCACGGCCACCTGAGGTGGCGCCGTGGTATCCCTCTGCTGCACTGGATGCTCAACCCCCCGCAGCTCACAGGCTGCCAGGGGGAGATGTCCCTATTCGCTCGGATGCTCGAGCCTGGTGTGGGGTCCCTGGCACGGCTTACCTGTCGGCAGCTTGACATCACACTTGTGAACCTGCGGGCACTTCTTGTTTGCACAACCGCGTCCATCATTCCAAGGCTTGCGCAACTTCAGGCCCCCTTTCAACATAGAGATAGTCTGGTACGAATCCTGCTTGATCTGGCGCCGTTTGGGCGCAGGAGGCACAGCCTCACTGGCACCCGGGGCTGCTCGTTTGGGTGCGCCTGCAGGCTCATTGGGGACGGCCTGAATGGCACTGGCGCGCCATTCAAGGTGAGTCTCACGCAAGGCCTCTTGAAGTGCTTCCCAACCATTGTAACCTTGCCGAATGTAACTTGCCATCTTGGTACGTGTCAGCAGGTCGTTGCGCTCCAACCACAACCTGGAGCCCTGGCCGAATTCCATGGCACTGGAGAGCGCGTGGTCAGCGTAGTTCAGGGCAGCGGTAAGGGAGATAAATACCGTCTCCTTACCATCATGTCCCCGCTGCTGGTGCAACCCTGCCCACGCCCATGCATAGGCCAAAGTACGGAGCGACCAGTAGTAGTCGACTACAGTGCGAATAGAGCGGGCCTCCTCCGTGTGGAATTCAAGCTGGATGCCTTCTCCTAGTTTCACCGCATCTTGTTGCCGTGGTGTAGCCTGGTGAAGGACTGACTTGATGCGAGAGGCTGGTACCACCGACATAGTCCTCTTTCTGAATTCTCTGTAAACCCGGGCTCTCAGAGCGTCACTGGGTTCCAGCGTAGCCTCCACGATGAGAGCATACTTGGATCTGAAGTCGCGGTTGAGCTGCTCCATGGTGGATTCCGGGAGTGGGTCATCCACCCCCTCAGATGACTTAGCGGCCTGGGCCGCTTGCTTAATGGCCTCGGCCCCTGCTGAATAGGCCGCACGCAGGCGAGCCTGTGTCAGCCGGTTGTCCTTGAAGGGTGTAGGCGCCAACAGTGAATGGATGGCCGCCGTGACGTCCTTTTCGTCCACAGCGAAAATGAAGTCCTCCAAGGTCTCCCATTTATGTGCACGGATCACGGCGTCAGCCCACTCTGGGAGGACGTTGGAGCCACTGAGACAAGCAGCTAAGCCACGGTCATCTTGGAGAGTATCAATCTGGTGTCCACGGCTCATGGCAGGGCTCCGAGGGTCTAGCAGGTGCTGGGAAACCCAGAGCACACTGGGCCACTCAGGGGCGCTGCACTCTGAGATCGAGCGAGTGAAAAACTGGGCTGTTGCAGAAGTTGGGCCATGGTTGCGGTGTCGAAGACACATCACAAACGCACGTAACCCGAGGACCCTTTCTCTCACCCTCGCCCTCCTACGAGGGGGTGGTGGATTAAGGGGGGTTGCCCAAACGCGAAAAGGAAAAACCTTCGATCTACGGTTCTGGTTCCGGTTCTGGCCCATTGTCCACCGGCAACGTGGGGTCCTGGACATCCGCTGAGCCCCTGGCAGTGGCATCATCTGTAGGCATGTCCTGCTCGATCTCGACCGGTGGTGGTGCCGGGAGCTCGGTCCCAAGGTCACCAAAGCGCTCATTCTGGGCAGCAAATTCTGCCCAGGTCCAACTGTCCCGGGGGTGCAGTCCCTCATCCGTCAGCGCCAATTCCGCCTTCTTGGCATGGTAAAGGCTCATGAAGCGCTTCAGCAGTGCCTTCTTCACCTGGGCCGAATGAAGAGCTCGTTGGCCGCTAATAATGAATCCCCATAGTCCAGGTGGCTCGTGACTTCTGGTTGGGGATGGGTCCCCCGCCAGTGGGGATCTCAACCCAATTGCCAATGGCCTGTTGGTCCGCCGGGGTCAACCGGACCGCATTCCCAAGAGTGGGGAGGAACCGTCTCAAACGGTTGAATCCCGCAGTCTGGGCTTGGTCAGGAGCCGTGCCCAGGTCAAGGAGGGTGCCCCGCAGAAGCTCCAAAAAGCGTCCTCTGGACAGCTTGCGGTCCAAAGCCCAAGGGGTGTGTTCCGTGACCTGCCACAGGTCCATCGGGTCCAGCTGCAATGCTGGCCACAAGAACTTGCACCCTGGCAGAAGTTCCATGGTGACAAAGTCCTGGATGACCTTGACCAAGCTGAACCCTGGCCATGGGATGTCAGGCATAGCCCATTGGAAGGCAGGCCGGGCCCCCTGGCGCCGCGCCTTGCCCTGCGAGCATGTGAAGAACAGGGCATTGGCCGCCAGGTGGTCAAACTTAGACCGTTGAATATGCTCGAATCTGATGCAGGATACAGCCGCCCACAACATAAAGGCCAGCACCAAGGTGTTGGTGCCGGAACTTTGGCGAAGCTTCAGGATCATGTTGATGAACTCCCACGGTTGCAGTTCGAGCTTCTGTTGCGAGGTATGTCCCACAGGAAGCAGCTTGTAACCGCGCACCATCCAGTGGTCCAGCGGGAATTGAACCCCGAACTGTGACCGGAACCAGTTGAGGGCGTGGAACATAGCGGATGCTGCTGTGGGGCCCCCCGCGTGCCACCTCCTTGAGGAAGGTGCTCAACTGCAGAGGGGTAGGTTGCCGTACATCGAACCCCAACCTGAGGGCAAACTCCCTCCACCTTCGCAAGGTGCTCGCCAGAGCTCCCAAGCGATGGACTGAAAGCCTGTCGGCGGCCGGCATAACAGACTCCTTGAGGAGTTGCATCCTGGTGGCGTCTTGCAGCTGGGTTCGGGAGACCCCCAATTCCTCCAGGTCGAGGAAGTCCTGGATCAAGAGCTCGAACAAGGTCTGGGTTTTGGCCATCTTAGCTGCTTGTTCTTTCACATAGGGGTCTCGGGCTGCAAGACTCATGAGGAGCGGAGGTTCCCTGACCTCTCCTGTCTCCAAAAGGCGGCGCACCGGCCGAGCGGCCTGCTGTGAAGGTCCCTCTGGCCTGACTGGGGCCGAGGTGGAGACTGCCGACTGGCGGTGGATGCAGATCTCCCTCAAGTGCTTGCGCTGTGAGGCTTGAGCCCTCTGAGACGCCAAAGTCCAGAAGGAGACGATGGTGAAGCCTTCCTCCGCGGACACCGAGCCATGGCGCCCTTCCAACTCCTCGAGGAGCGCACCTCCTGTGGGCCACAGGCTATGAACATCCTCACAGGTCTGGACGCCCAGGTCCACGAGGTGATTGAGGAGGTTGATCGGCCGGTCGACCAGCAGCTCCTGTAGCATACCCTCCATGGGTTGGTCCGGCTTCAGCGCCCCGGAGCTGCTCGATGATGTAGGCGCGCACGTCGTCTGCGGACATGTTGGAGGCGGTTCCCAAGGCGTCGAGGCGGATGACCTGGTCGACCTCATGGAAGTGCGGGGCCGACTCTTGGGTTCCAAACCCTTCGATCTGGACCGCCGCCTCTTGCGCTCCGCCATGGTCCGGCACGCAGGGAGGCCAGTCGCTCCTCACGAGATAGCACACTGGCCTCCCTGCCCCTTGCCCCGCCTCCACTGCCGTGCCACCACCCTCCACGTAGCCAGCTCAGTGGAGAGGATGGTGGGCATGGCGAGAAAAAGGAGGGGAGCCCCCAATCTTGAGCCAAAATGGCATCCAAGATTGAGGATCCCCGCTATATGTTTCACATCTCAATATGTCCCTACCCAACCAACCATTCATATTGATTGATAATCACTCTTCGCTCTTCAGTTTCACGTAGGTCTGCTCCCCCAACCGCCCGATCCCTGATCCCATGGATCTGGAAGCTCCAGCCGCACAATTGGAGAGTTGGGATGTTGGTATCATACCGTTTCATGGCTTTCAGTCGCCACAATTCCCAAGAGGGTTCAAACACGATCATCGCCGCCAACCACATCAAGGCTCACCAAACATCTCAGAGCAAGAAACAACTGTGCTGCCAAAAAAACAACCGCTCCTTGATGTGTTTCGAAGTGTTTGGCGAACCACTCCGTGAGGTTTGATAGTCCAGCAAATCGAACCCGACTAACTAGAGGGTCAAAGCCATATTAACCAAAACCCTCGAAAACCAGTATCGCCCACTCGCCCACAAGCATCATGGGCACCACGAAGAGTCTTAGTTCCCGGGCCAGGACAGCCAGGGGCACTGAACGAATCGGCTCCAGATGCTCCTTGGGGAGGCCGCCCCGGCGTTTGCATGCAAATGGATCTCAAAGTGGATGCAACAAATTACAGTATCTGTTTGGGGGATCACTAGTTTAGACGAAAACATATTTCCAAGGGTGAGATGTAGAGCATTTCTCAAAAATACAAGCAGCAACAAGTATCGTGAACATCGGCCGTGCGAAGAGGAAAGAGAGATATGGCTGGAGTGGGCCAAAAGCAAATCCAGGCGCCTCTGGCCATCAAAAGACTTGTGGCGTGCCTTTGTCAGTGTCGCAACAACACCTCATCTGGTGAACCCCTCAAGGATAATGGCAACATGGATCAACATAGGATATGTACTGACTCGTCCCAGAGAAGAAGGCCATGGGAAGCCAAAGCGAAGATCTGTCACTAATCAAAGCAAGCAAGCTGAAGCCAGAACTGCCCTTGACTGGACAGTGAGGGAGAATACGGAGTGGCACGATGCGTACTTATGTCCATCCTTGGCTTGTCCTAGTTGACTACTCTATTGGATTGCTTCGTTCACGCGCCGCGAAGGTCTGCTCCTGTGCAAATCACAGTTGGTGAATCGCAATGGTCACTGGCCGAATCTCGACTTGTTGTTGCCGGGCAAGATTGGTTTGTGGACTTCCTGCATCCATACCAACATGTCAATGTAATTAATATCTATATATTTGATCAAACAGGGCCAACGTCAGTTGCATGAAAGTCTTTGAAACTTCCGAGGGCTTTTTTGGTCCACAGGCTTTCTTGCAGCACACGTCTAGGTGCCAAGCTCGCTGGATCCTCACCTGAGGCGTTTCATCGACAAGACCCTTGGAGTCACAACTTTTGTTTCTCACAACACATGCAAGCTGCAAGATTCTTCAGACCAAGCTGTGCGATCATGCACAGTCGAGCGTGCACCAGAATAGGGAGACCGGAAAAGACAAAAAAAACACGCGGAAAAAGAACCGAAACCCATTGGGCCGGGGGGGGAGCTTCCTATTCTAACACATTATGTAATTAATTATTATATATGTACGCAGGGCAGGGAGATGTGTTGGTACTTGTGCTACTTATGTCAAGCTTTTTGTTTCCTGTTCTTGGAAACGTTCTCTTGGACACACCCAGCAGTGGCTCGTGTGCATCCCGCCAACACACTGACACACTGATTGAGCTTTTATCCATCACTCACAACAAGCTTGCTTCGGTTTCAGCAGTGTAGTCCCAAATGGAACAATCCCCAACAGTGCCGGATTTGTATGTGGTATGTCACAAGCATCATGTCGTGGGTGGCCACAAAACGACAAAGGCAAACTCGATCATCTTCCTCCATATTGTGAATACTGTCAAACAATCTACAGTAATGATTTGCCCTTCTGTTGTTATGAGCTCCATGCCCAAATGCCACGATCGCTGCTGCCAGGCCTTCTGGAATGTGAGACTCCAGCGGAGATATCCCTGCCGCGCGGAGGGTTCCAAAGATACGTATCGCGAGTCGAGGAGACTTCCCAACCTCCCGGATGGTCAAACAATAGCGAACTGGATATCAATGTTAATGGTCGCATCCAAAAGCATGGCTGATTGAACACATCATCAATACAATCAAAGTAACAAGTGTCCACTCCCACCACTTCCCTGGTAGCTTAGGGCAGGCTGTTCATATGTTTTATCTACACATCGGTGAGTGAACGCCCGTTGGCTGATTGAAAGAGCTCGAAAGATCTACCAGGTCGGATCCCACAAAATCCTGCAGGTCGGTCTTCAAGTTTAGGAACAAGAAGCTACTAGTAACAAAGGGCATTGCTACTAGGGAGCAAGAAGCTACTAGTAGCTCCTGGTCATACTACTAGTAACAAGAAGCTGTTTTCCTTTGGAACTGAAGCGGAAACATCTTGGAAGGAGGGACGCTACATTGAAAAGGACAGGCTTCATCACAAGGCTGTCAACCGCGAGGTCTCATGATGGGAGAAACAGGCACTAGACTTACTAGGCCAAGAGAGCAACCCAGGTTTTTTCGTAGCACAACGACTAGCACAACGAAGCAACATCAACCACTATTAGGACAGTGAGCATGGTTCTACTTGTGCTTGCACATTGCACACCTATGCGTTCTCCCGGTGCAGGAATGCTTTCCCGACCCCAAAACGGTCCAACACCTAGAGTTGACTCAGAGTTGACCACCTCGGATCGGATTTGGGTGAACCTGGACTCGTGTGGCCCAAAGTAAGCCCATTCATTCCTATAACCGCTATAACCACTAAGAACAGCGGATCCCGCGACAAAGCGCACGCTGAAAATTGCCAAAGAGATCCAAAGCTCCCATCTTCATCCATCTTCCGTGTTTGGTTTGTTGCAGGGACTGTAAAACAGTTCAACAATACTCAAAATACTCTCCTCCCCCCGCAAACCCACCCATCCACCGACCCGAGCACCGCTTTTTCTTCCTTAGAAGCTAATTCAACACCCAAAACACCTGCGCTCCTCCGAAGCACGATGTCCTCTCATCGCTCTCGGCATCCGCACGGACTCGCGGGGGGGCGAAGACGTCTGGCCCTGGAGAAGTCGCTATGGGCCGGTTGAAGGTAGAGTGTTCAAACCCCAAGGGCCTCGGTGAACATCCAAAGAACTCTGGAAAAGAAGACGGTTTCACATGTGAAGACATCACTGCCAATCACTACGGTCATGTTTCAGGAAAATAGTTTTGGGAAAAAACATATTTCATCATATTTCTTGACTGACACGCATGTGGTATACTACACACACAACATATGACAATGTGAGTATCATCATGTCACGTCTCCGTTTAGAGTGCATGACATCTTGCGATATACCGCAGGCACTACTGCAGGCTTTTGAGTCACCCCGCGGAGGAGTGATACTAACACTGACCTCTCCCCAAGAAAACACGAGACTTTGGGGAGCTCAGCTGAGTGCCGCTAGGCCATGTCTACCCCAAATTGCCCGAAATCGGAGAATTCGACCCTCAAAATTAGCTAGCTGTGCTATGAAGCAATCTCTCGACTCAAACATGGGGGGCTTGAAGCCCACACTGCTATACAAATGCCTAAACACCAGAAAAAAATTGACGACTGAAAAAACAACACCGTTCCCCAATCAGAAAGATACTGAGAGGCCAGATCGCATCCGGCCATGGCCCGGCACTGTCACTTGGAACTGTCACTATTGTGGCCTTCTTCTCTTTGCTCCAAGGATCCTGGAGGCAATGCGAGCCCAAAAGACCAAATGAAACCACGGACAACAATATCAATGTCAAAAAGGCCCTCCGGCCCTCTCCCTTTCCACTGAAAACTAGGGACTCTATTCTTTACCTCTTCAATCTTCCATTTTGGCAAAACATTGATCTTCATGAATTTCAAACTCTCCAGCCACGTTCTCCTGAAGAAATGCCCCTTGGGGGAGGTACATCAAGGATTTGCAGTGCCAATTTCCCCTCAACTTCACGGCTTTGACTTGGTACCCTGCTTTTGAACATGTTTGAACCATCTGTTGGTGCGTAGTGTCCAAAACCAGCTCCAGTCCCGGTCCCGTCGCTCTGCCCGGTCCGCCTGCGTCCGATCGCTCGAACTCGGCGGAGCGAGCTTTCAAAATGCCTCGGCGCAAGAAGCCCGGTCTTTTGGACCGGTTTCTCTATGTTCAACGAAAATGATGAAGCCCTTTCAGTGGAGATAACGAGTAAGACATGGACCCAGAACAAGGAAGCAAGCTGGAGTCTCAAAGTACCCAGCCTTAAATAGAACCTTGAACAGTGATAATCATGACATTTGACTACCATCCATAATCGATCATAGTCCCCCAAATGGTCTGAGCTGACTGAGCTGCGTCTTGATTGATCGAACCCAGCGCAGCAGCCACCTCCTATTGTTACCTCCTGGTCAGTCCTATTGGAAGAAGTGCAAGGCTTACAACAGTTTCAACAAGTCAACACAAGTCGTTTGAAAGTTCTGGTTTGAACATGATTGAACAAGAAATGATGTATGAAACAACATGAAACAACTACGAATGCCAAGAATACCCGACTACCGAGTACCTTGGAATACTGAGGCAATGAACATTTATATGATTTGTATGAGCACATATGAGCCATGCAAACCGTCCTCATCCAAAAGGGAACCTGACAAATCCAGCAAAACAAGCAGCTGCAAAATGTCCGATAGACTCTAGAACCATCCACCTGGCGGAAAAGGATTGAGCTGGGAGCACTATGAGCACTAGGATTCACATTGATTGAGCAGTTTCATCGAGCGAATCTGCTCCTTTGTGGGGCAAGGAGCCAATAAATGACGCTCTCATCCAATCTCGGGCTTCCAGAGTCGACACCCAACTCAATTCTTTTCTTTTTTTTCAAGTGGTTGGGTGCTGAAAATGTATGGTTCTATACAGCTCTATACGTGTTGATGCACACTCACTACTTCTACTTCCGAACATTCTCATTAAAACAAAGAAACGTTGGTCCTATTTTTCAGGGTCCAATGGAATCACCTAAAGCCGCCGAAACAGCCGGCCACCGACCGGTGGAGGTCAGCCACCAAGGCGCTCAGATCGAAATTTGGCATGACCAGCAGGCCATTCTCTCCGTTGCCTCCACGTAAACGACATGAGACGACGGGTTGGGATGCCTATTGATTCCCCTTCTTGCTAGGTGAAAAGTCCTTGATGAACACTGACAGTGACACTATGCTCTCAAATATTCAACAACCCAAACCAATGCCAATACAACGAACAGGCAGTTAAAACAAAGGGTGTAGTTTTTGCTCTGGTCACATTGCCACATTCGCATGTAGGAAATCTACTCGTCCAGAACAGCTATTCTGGTGATGTTTGAAGCAGTGTGGATCGATATGTTTATCCGTTGATGACAGAAAAGGAAGACCACCACGTGAAAAGCTGGGAAAACATGGGTATTTGCCAGAATGTTGGATGCTTCCAGTTGGTTCTTCCATCAACAGTATCAATTATATAATGTTATAATGTTATATATAATATGTATATTCATCAAATTGAATTACAGCTGAGTGAGATTCCAGAATCGTATCAACATGGAAATCACGCCAACCCATGACGAGATCCACTTCAACCCCCAAAATCTATCTGTCAGGGTTTGTCTGGTCTCAATTGAGAGAATCTAGATAACACCAGTTATAGAGAAATCAAGGCATGTTTTCCTTTTTACCTTTTACCTGTTCCGAGATGTTCTGAGGATATTTAATACTTTATCAAAGAACCTAATCATCTAGTTACAGTGTCCTGTAGTCTTGCTATGTCTCGCTACAGAAAAGACACCAGCATGCACTGACGCAACACCGTCTGCCAATCTTCCTATGAACGTGTTGTCCGTAACAAGCGCACCAGTCTCCCGTGTCTGCATTTGTTCTTCGACAGAGCCGAACTGGAACTTGAGTCTGAGACATGACTGAACAACGGCTCTGAGTGAGTGGAGGATAAATAATGCTCATCAAAAATGATGGGCCTACACCCGATTGAATTCTGTGATTTGGAGGCCAGGGTGTGGCACATGAATACTTTTTTGTTCTAGTGTCTTGGCTGCAAAACGATTATACAATTAGCAACCAGGTCTCAATGCCTTGACACATATTAAACTGTAACCTGGGTCAGGACCCAACTTTCTCCATCTTAGCTCAGGGCGAAGCTTCCCATTTGGGATGACACGTTTCGCTGGGTGACCAGGCAAGGAATCACAGGCACAAAATAGACCTTGGGAGAGCCTCAAGAGCGAGTTTCAATGAGTTTCACCTGTCTAATTGGAGACCTCCACCAATTGAGAATTCCTTCTGTCTAGGAAAAGTACTTATCTGAGCTGATGATTTGAAGGACTTCAAAATGACTACGCTCCAAGCGCAACATTCGATGCTTTGGTGGAAGACTCCTGGGTTCTGCTTGTGAACAAAATGCAAGATCATCTCCCAAATAAACTTAGCAAATTTACCACGACCGGGCAGTCAACGAACCATGCTTGCTAGTGTTGGTTCAGAATTGACACTCCAGGCCGAAAATCGACCTGGTCTTAAACATGAAACTGACATAAAATGGAAAGCACAACTGAATCCAATGCACAGTACCTACACCAACAGCATATCTTTTTAAGTACTCATCTAATTATAAGGGGATGCGGTCCTCTGCAATTTGAATCGTCCCCAAATCCAGTGACAGTATGAGGGTAGTAATTCCTTGACCTCAAAACGGTGACTGGGGCATGTATAAATCAAATCGTTCCAATTCCATCGTTTCCATCTCAGCTTCTCAGCTTCCGGCTTTTGGGTCCCGCTGGAACCTCTCCACAGAATGAAAACGACTGGCGGGGGAAGAGAGCACGTGGACTAGAGACGCGTTCCAAGCACAACAAACTGGGAACTGTTGAAGTGTCCTTCGGATTCATTTCAGTGGGTGAAACTAAGGACATGTTTCCCTCTACTGTAGTAGAGCTATTGCCGGCACTTATAGTTAAATGTTTTTACCACGCCAACATACAGTTAGAAAGTTAAGGAATGTTAATTTCACAAATGCGGCCCTGTACCAAAAAACCCATGAATGCAAACTCTTGACTTCAATTGGCAATCGGCATGTCAGTATAGGTGACTCTCCTTCATTTGTTGGCCGGCATGCAAGTGAACAGTGCATCAGTCGTCATTCATCCATCATCATCCATCATCATTCATCCTCATCATCCATTCACCACCACCACCATCATCCTCATCATCGTCATTACTGACACATAGATCCCGCGAAACATTGGGAAATATCCAAGCATATGGGTTGCCCAAGCACCCATCAAGTCACCTCTTCTTCATGAGCCTTTTCGGCTCTTTGCTCTGCGGGCCTCGAAAATCGACAGCAGCTGTTTTGCGGCAAGAAATCAGAAGCATCAGCTGGGTCATATGGGTTCATAGATGGTTGATGCGTTAGTCTCGCACAACCAATGCAATGCTTGTAACGAGAGATCTTGCACAATAAGCCCCTCCCATCCTCTCTAGCAAGCAATTGAGGGAGTCTGAATAGGATTATATTCCCCTAAAGTAATCCAGGGGGTCAAGTTTAGTAAACGTAGTAGTAGCGGGAGTAGTAGCTATTGTTGTTGCGGATGAAGTTGCAGTTGCAGCAGTAGTAGTCGTAGTAGAAACAGTAGTAGAACCAGAAGCAGAAGCAGCAGCAGCAGGAGGAGCAGCAGGAGGAGCAGGAGGAGGAGTAGTAGTAGTAATATGTAGTAACAGCAAAAAGTAGTACCGACTGTCTCGCTGTCTGTGACCGTAGCCGCCAGCGTTGATCTTAAAGGAAAGAGTTATATACATAAAATAATATACTTATACCTGGGCCTTCATAAGTATGCATTTTTAATGCCTTTTCAATCAAAACTGCTTTTTCAAGCAAACGCCAACTATTTTGTACTGAAGCACTTTTTGCATTGACATGTTTTCGATGGTATGTCAAGGTATTGAAACGGCGACTTTTCCCGACCAAACGGCGACTTTCCCCGACCAAACGGCGACTTTTGCAAACTGCTAGTTTGGTAACCTCTGTAAAGACATCGAAACGGCACTTTTGAAATGAAACGGCGTTTTTGACGGCAAACGACTGAAATTTGTGCTGTTTCGCCAAACGGCAGAAAAAACACACCCGGTATAGAATGACAGTGCCCATCCGTTGGTTGCCATTTATTGCAGTCACCAGTGAGTGCACTACAAAATGCAACGCAATGCCAAGTTTTGTAGTTTACTCATCTTATACATACCGGCATACCTAACAGAAGCCTCTATGTCTGAGGTGCGTTTTGCCCCATGTCCATATGTCCAGCTCGATGTTGGAAGTCATGTTGGAGCTCATGTTGGAACTCATGTTGTGGATTAGTCTATGCCAGCTCCATGTTGGATGAGTGGCACGCCTCTCCTATAGGTTGGGATGTGTCAAATGGGGTGGGGGGAAACTGAACATAACACATCGAATGTCATCCGCAATCGTTGCTCTCAAACAATTGCATGAAGCCTCTTGATTTGTGCGGGGGGCCCATATCAGTATGGGATTGCTTTTTGGTAGAACCCATGGCGGAGCTTGTGCTATATAATTGACTATGAGAGTTGTTGGATGACATTCTTGCTTGTGATGCGTGTTGGGAGCCAGATTGTTCAGCAGAATGTTCAGATGTTATCAGCCAATATTGGAGGATCCAGCGAACGGTTCAGAACGGTTCATAGATAACGTAAATTCTTTCAAAAACGTCGAACGGTTCAGAACGGTTCATGAACTATTTGTGTTTCTTGCACTTATGTATGATACTTGAAATAAAATTAACGGTTCAGAACGGTTCAGTGAGACTGGTTTTTCAAGTCATAAATAGGATTGAACAACCAAAAGAAACAGCACACAAGGAATACAACACTTCTTAAGAGGGAGGTCCTCTCGCATATTGTCCATCTTGCACCGTGCAATCTTTCCAGATCAAGCCATAGAGTGCCACGCTGATCGTTCTCAACAATGCGTTCTCAACCAGTGGGTGGACAAAGACATGCAGCAAGTAACAGTGATGTTACACTCGTAGCAATGCAACAAACGTGGAGACGACGCCCCAAGAGCCCCGACTCAAAAAACTTGAACAACGCAGATGCATCCCACCAGCAATCGGAAACGACAAGTCATTAAGAGTGGTTGACGCGACTGATCCCTTTCCCAGCTGCCCACAGTAAGGGTAGCTGCTCGTGAAGTTTGGCCACAAGAATTGTGAACCGTTCTGAACCGTTCGGACCCATCAGCAAGTTTCAACACGTCACTAATTTGATGTAAGAAACGATGTCGGAACTTGTGTCGGATTTCTCTCATGACGTCATGTGCACGTTGTGGTGACCTGTCTGAAAGTTCAAGGGGTCCCAAAACCACGTTCTGGACGATATGGAGGAGACTTCACAAGCATCATTTGTACCTAAAATGATAGGCGGGCAAGGGACAATTCTGAAATTCCAACGAAATTACACGCACGCCCAGATTCAAGGGTTAAGGGTCTGATTTGGCAACTTACGCGCTTACTTTGTACTCCGTGGCCGTTCGTGAGTCTGCAAGTGGAGAGGTGCAATTACTCTGCAAAGTTTGTATGCCGCATGCCCGACCCACTTGCTCCCTTGCATGCAAGAAAAGAATAGCAACAACTTTGTACCTCAGCGTTGTGTTGCTATACAAGCTATATGGGTGAAATGCTTGCTGTTATATTTGACTGCTGATGCTTGCGATAGTACTTGACAGCAGATGCATCAAGATAGTAACATAAATGTTTCTTGCACGTGAGACCTGGACTCCCAGCCGGGCCGATTGAGGGTTTGCATTCTGTGGGCCTCCCAAAGCATAACCCAAAATGAGGTGTTGTTCTTGAATACGGCGCCCCAAAGATTATGTGCGATTCACATGATGCAAGTGTGCCAAGAAATGAAACGTGCCACAAACTGTTAGATGGTGCTGGTGATTGATATGCTGGGCACCCAAGTGAGCGAATTGTAGCCGTGCTACCTTAATCGAACTCCTCAAGCCTTCTCACATCAGTTATCTCCAACATCCGTCCTCTTATGCCATACAGAGTTGGCAGCGCTTCACACATTGCACAAGCATCAGCAACAGTTACGGCATCTTGAAGTTCCACTCATACATACTATGCAGACTAGCCTATGCACCAACAACATCAACCCCAACGTGACTTCTAACATTAACTCTAACATCCAAATTCCTGTATGGCAGAAACCAGTGTTTAAAGAGGCCTTCATCAGGTGTACCTTAGGTTGGACCATCCATTGTTTAGTGCACTTTGACCTCCCATTTTTCGAAGATGATATATGATTCAGCGGTGTAATTTTATAGTGAGTGTTTTCTGGCTCCTGCATTTTATAGTGCCACACTCTGGAACCCCAAATCATAGCTAGAAAATGGATTTCCATTGTCTCCCTGTTATTCCAACGGGGATGCCCCAAACAATTTTTCAAGGCGGTAGTAGGCAAGCCCAGGGAAAGTGAATTTTGTTAAATTATAATGATTGTTTATGGGGTAGGAAGTACTTGGAGCACTGAGAAAGAAATCTGGGCTTACTATTGTTCCAATCTAACACGGTGCTTTCTACTTTTGCAAGGCATTCTGTGCGCACAATGCACACCTATGTTAGAATCATAGACATAAAGATCGAAGAACTGCATGATGGCTGGTGGTTCCCACCAGTTTGGATGTTTCTTCAATGAGAATACCTGCTGGCCTTCAACCGCCGGGTACCTACGTCACCCGGTCAGTTCGAACAGGAATGAACAACATTGGATTCGTCTCCAGAGGGTTATACCTGCCAGTTGAAAACACTTATATCAGAAATACCTTCCGTTCGCCTATGGACAGGTGTGAGGCTTCCCCAAAGTCTTTGCAAGAAACATCCACAAACTCCACGATTCCAGCATCCTCTAGCCTCTAGTAACTCTAGTATGTTGACAATAACAATAAGAAGGACCAGCTCTATCCGTGGATTGGACATCTGTTTTCTTTTCGTTTTTCTTCACGTTTCGTCTCTCCTCTGACGGTCTTTCGCATCTTGGAGACCCTGCTGGCTCTGCCTCTTTGGGCCGCCACGGTCCTGTCCGGATCTCAACACTCTGCGGTGGGAGGAAGGCCTAAGGCCAACACAAATTTCCTGGTGATTTGGCTTCCAAAGGGGCAGATGCTAAAGCGGTTGGGCAAATTCGATGATCCAGCGATTCCACAACCACTCAGTTCATCCCTGTGCATCCTTCATCATATCCTTCATCTAAAGATATCGACAGACTGTCCATTGGCCCCCCCTAATCCCCCTTTAATCTAGATTCACCCCCGGACACGAACCAAGAAAAAAGGATCACAGTTCGTTGAACCACCCTGTCCCATCCTGTCCCCACAGGTCCAAAGCGTCCAAAGCGTCCAAGCGGGCGCGCAGCGAACGGATCCAGGTCCACGGCTTCACGGCTCCGTCCTTCGAAGTCTTTTTCTCATACTCTCTCCTGGGAGTGGGAAGGAACAAAACCATTGAACGCCACGTTTCTAAGAATGCTTCGCCTTTTCGCGCATGGAGGACGAAAATAAAGGAGGTCCACGCCCCCCACGGAAAGAAGCATGGGGTGTGATTGCTTCATCGAAGCTGGTATCAAAGATCATTCCCTCAGTAGGGACTGTTCAAATCCAACATGGCTATGGCTATATCTATATTATATATTGACTTGATATTTTATTTTGGCCAGTGCAACCTCACGGACGTGAAGTGAAGAAAAGTACATTTCTCACAATCATCAATCCCCTGAATCATGTCATTGACCATTCCCACCTCCTGCAGTAATTATATGTCTTGCGGATTTTATTGACCAATCTTTTGGTGCCAGGTTCCAAGCGGCGCTCATGACTAGGTCAAGGAACATGTTTGCTTTTATTGCAACCACTCAAGATCTCCCGATTCTGCGTGGAATACCAGGACATACAAAGACAGCAAACATCGCAAGATGTCCAGTTCCTAAAGAAATCATTGCTGAAGCCACGCTCATCCAGTCCAGAGTCCACATGTGAAACACTGTGAAACAGTCGTGCTGTCAATGTCAACTTCCCCGGTACGACGCCCTCAGCACCGAAATAGACCGTGCGCCGGCCACGGAGATTCAACCAGGTCGGGGACTGCAAATCGATCAACTGGTCATTGAGCTTCAAGTGTTGACTCCAAAACCTGCCGTTTCTTTTTGGAAGCTTGGGAAGCTCGTGGTTGGTGAGCTGGATGTTTCCAGCTAGTAATAGTTTAGTCTTACACCTTGTCCATGCCAATCTCTTCATGCGGGTGCCCGAAACTCTATCGGCACTTGGTTTTTGACAACATGATCCTTCGGGAGTGGCCCTTCTGACCAACCCAAAACACAAACTCCGCGGAATGTGTATGTACAAGTGAGTCGGGGTAGGTATAGCTCATAAACATGTCAAAACCCAACGCCCAAACCAATCAATTTGAGAAGGAACAAAACAGTGCGACCTAAACAATTCTCTTGATCTCCTCCCATGGAATATCACTGAGTTGACCTGACCCACCAAATGCATCAAATGAACCAACGAGGTTAGCACACCAACCAGCATCCCGTTGTGCAGGTGCAAAGCGTCCGTCTGTCTTCACCTACACGGACGACACGACCAGGACCCACGGGATGATCCAATGACCAAGAATTAAACATTCAAATCGTTTCCCAGCTTAACAAGCCTCACTTTGTATTACAAGAAAAGAAGCGATAGTATTGAGCATCACAAATATCCTACCAAATGGTTCTGGGATGTTCTGGGCATCCCAAAAGAGCTCAAGAGCTCCTTGGTCAAAGGACCCAATCTTTGGATCCAATTCTTTTGCTTGAACAACTCAATCTCCCTTGGGCCACGCCACCAGCCGCCAAATCTCCATTGGGTCGGGTCTTTGAGCGCCTGCTTCTGGCCTCTTGCAACATGGTCTGCTCTCGGGGCCCGAGGAAATGCCTGGAGAGCGAGGTGCGAGACTTGAGTCCTGGAGAGGTGCTCCCTGGACTCCTGTCCCGGAATGAGTGCAATAAATGGGTGTGTGGTTTGTGTATATTTTAATCACCCAATCAATGGGTTGGGGTCTATGTTCCTTCTTCCTATTTTATCCTATTTCAATACACACCCAAATGTTGAGGGCAGGGCCAGGCAGGGCCCTATGCTGTATATTGTCTAGCAAAAGAGATTCCAGTTAGCCCCAACACGTGTCACCTATACAAACAAGATGAGTCTCCGTGGTTGACGACCCGGTCTTTGAATGGGGGGATTGTCAAGCCAACACTGTATCGTGTGGGTTGGAGAGTGAAGTTGTGAAGTGAAGTCACCCAAATTGTATAGTTTGTGAATGTTTGTGAGTGTTTATGACAACAAATGTAACACTGTTCATGGAGCCCGACTCATAGACAAGAAAATGGTATACAGTATACTATGATATACAACATAATAACAAGACCTTCGGATCGATCTTCATCTCAATGACTTCGTCCAAATACTGCAACACCAAAGAAAAGCAACATGTCCCAAAATCCACAAAGGCTAAAGAGTTTAAACACATTAAAAAGCCCCAGACCTGCTATCTGACTTGGCTGCCAGGCCTTGTCTTTTGGACTCTATATACAACTTCTAGTTTCTAGTATCCTTGAAACTTGAGCCTTTGTTCTCTGCACCTGTGGCTTCAAGATGAGACTGAGCATCCCAGCTTCCGTCTTTGGGGCACAGTACCATCTTGCCTGGGCACATGTATCATTCGAGAGGAAAAGACAATAATAAGTTCTCTAACACGTTCCTCAAAGATTCGTTTAAAGAGCCTGCACATGGTTCTTAACCTGTAACAATTCTTTGTACATATAAAATGTCTTGGGTGGGGTGCCTTGATACAAGTACCGCCCTCCTATACAACCTGCGGCCGGTGAGCATTGAACGGTGGATCGACCATTCTGTTCAGGTCTTGCCTGTGAACTGCCAGGGTACCGAACACCCTAGGAGAAAGAAGCTACTAGGAGCAAAGGGCATCGCTACCAGGAGCAAGGACGCTACTAGGGGCTCCTGGCCTTACTACTAGGAACAAGAACGCTACTATTTTTGCTGCGCTGCCAGTAGTTGAACAGCAGGTGAGGTCGTTGATGTTGGTGTTAAATGTCCTTTATTAGTACAGGCTCTGCATGGCTCTGCTATGATACATGCTACAGCACTAGGTAACTTTCAACACAGAATGGTCAAGGATTCCGTCAAGGATGATTCTCAAGACTGGATGAACAAGCATGGCTCAGCTGGGCCGGGTTATGACTGGCAAGTTGTTCCTAGAGAAATTCTCACCCAGCAGCTAAGATGATGGCACAAGTTGTGATAGTTGGTCAAGATGTGTCAAAACTTCTCAAACTTAGCCTTTCTTGTCGCCCTCAAAAATCAATCAAGCAACGATTACAACTCCCTGTCAACAACTATAAACTACCCTGTCACAAACCTCTTTCCAACCCACCCGCCCACATGATACGGTGCCATGGCCTGTCGGCCTCACTCTCCTGGCTGCTGCGAGCAACTCTGGTGAGATCTCGTGCTATAGCGAGTATGTAAACTATCCTACCAACCTCTGGTAATGTTGAATTAGCAGCAATAAACCATGAGTCAATAATAATAAGCTTTTCTGGCCTGCCAGAATTTTGAATACTACTTTTAATTGCATAAACATCCAGAACCCAAAATGGATACAGTATGTTTTTTTGACGAGTCAATTATAAACATGAGACGATAATAACAAGCCTTTTCTGGTCAGATCCCAATCTGCCTTTTACTTGTAATTTCTCCTATCTTCTTCTTCTTCTTTTGTGGGATCTGTCCTTTTTATCTTTGCCCATCAGATTTCTAAAAACTTGGCTAGCCAAAAGCTTTAGATTGCCTTATACAAAATATCTTCAAAGGCTTAAAGGGTACCCCTTTAGACTTCTACCCCCTGCAAATATAACCCAACCTACAGCCTACAATAATAAACCCCCCTGCAATTGGAATTCAATTGGGGAAATTGATTTTGGATTACTTTCAATTCATACTCCACATCCCCTCTGCCAAATGGCCTGGAGGTTTTATATTGAGGTTGAGAGTTTTGACCTACCCCGAAAAAATAGAAATAGTTGTTCTTTTTTCATAGGGGGGAGGGGGAGTTTACTATTGCTAATTCAACATTAAATTCCTTACACTTCGCGGCTTGTTTATGTTTAAGAATCCCTGGAATTCTGGAGCACACGCCGCAAGAGACGCTTGTCCAATGTATCAAAGATTATCAAAGCCCATTCTATCCTGGACTTTGGCGCATGCGCCAACAGCTTGAAGCAGGCAAGGTAAGTCAAGCGAACGTGCGAACCGGCGCAAATAACATAGCGTCAATCTGGGACGATTCAAAACATCTGACAGCAAAAATAGCTTGCTTGACGTGGTCAGTTCCTCAGCCGCTAGGGACTGATATCCAACCGCCAACCCAGTGGGACCCTGTCCTCCCTTCTTCCATCTGTCCTCCCCACCCTGCCTCAACATGATCAAGGCCTGACTGGTTGATGGGGAACCAAACCAAGGCCTCGCTGAGTGGCTGTGCGGGCGGTGCTCAATCCCCCTGCACAGGTGTGTTTGCATGCACGGCAAGGAGAGGTTGTGGTGGATATACATATATATATATATACAGTATATATAAACTAAACCCCTGTGTTCATGTAGTAGACCCCCCCAGTTTGTAGAGACAGGTGTTCTCTGTTTGTAATGGAACAAAGTCTTCCAAGTGGACAGTTTCCAGAACCATGTTTGCTGAGGGTGTGTACCCAGTGTGACCTTTTTTATATGACGAGACATATCTACCTCGAATCCATGCCTTCATCTGCCTTCATCACGATGTGTTTTTGATTTGACCGGAGACGCCACCAATGGCCAGGAGGGTATCCCTTGAACCTGCAAGCTGCTGAGGGTTCGGCGCCCACTTTTCTAAGATTTTCTCAGGACAGTCTTTTTCCGATCCCTTCTAATCAAAATGACCGCCGCTTGTCGAGCCTACCCTAGCTGCAAAAATGAAAGGGAACATAGCCTGACATAGCCACCCAAAAGCCATTGTTTCACTTCTCGATAGATGATCTTCTGAAAAGGGCACAAAAAGCACCGTTCTATCATTGCAAGTATATCCCACTAATTGTCCGGCACCTTAAAATGTAGGAACCAAATGAATATGTGGTGCGAGCTATTCAAGGAAGACCTCTCCCGCCGCCTTTAGGGCGGCGAGGGAGCTTCCTTGAAGAAGCCTGAGCTATCCTGCATCCTGGGTAGTAGCATCCTAGTAAGGTACTAGCTACCTAGCTTCTACTAGCTACCTATCTTGCTACTACCTCCCTCTACCCCTCCTAAAGATTAGTAAAATAGAACTTAAATACTATGTTTAATTCAATCAAGGATCTTCTCATTACAAACAACCCTCAACCGGCAGCTCCAGACTGCGTGCCACATGGATCTGGACGGTTTGTGACAGGTCTGTATCAACGGATTTACATAGTGGTTCCTTGTTCCTTGATGTTCCATTTTTGTGCGGCGGGGGTAGGCCGCTAAGAGGTATTAACAAGGTGGCTAGTAGAATTACATATATAAGCTACTACTACCTGCTGGACGCAGGATAGCTCACGCTTCTTCAAGGAAGCTTCCCCTGCCGGAGGGCCGGGGGTAGCCTCCTTCAAGAAACGATCGCACTATTCATTTGGTTCCTAGATTTTAGGGAAACTTGTTCCTTGTTCCTTGCTATAGTGGTTTAGGATCTTCATTTAGCATGAAGCTTTACAGAAGAGATGTCTCAGCTGCTCAGGAGACTTAACGGACAGCCACAAAAGAATGGACACACTTAAACTGATGTAGACCTAGCCTCACACGAGCAGGGATGTTTGGAGTAGTCCAATGTTTGTGTGCAAAAGGGAGCCCCAGGGGCAGCTGGAAGCCATTTATCAGTGTGCGAGTTGAAACTCCCCAGAGAATAGTCGTCTCCAGTTGCCACTAGCAACTGGCAAAACCCCTTGTATGTGGAAAAAGGACATCCAACTCCAATGGTGAGAGATTTATCATTGGTCATTACTGTATGTGTCATAGTGGTTCTTCACGATAGAAGTGGACCCCATCCGTTTGTCAAGTAAAGCAATCTTCCAAATGGTGGCATGCCATCCACTTCCATGTGATCTCTTCGGAGGGAGTCGAAACCACAGTCGCCTGCCCAGATTGCCCACCCTCATCTGGGTCTGTCTGCCGTTTCCTCCTCCGCGTCTTCGGAGGCCATCGCGAACCTGGCGACCGGTTTTTAGGGCCTCCCCAGTGAGGCTACGGCACCGACACAGCTGTAGGTTTTGGAAGCAAATAGAACCACCAGCAACTGCTTCGTGATGGTTCGTGCTCTGTCAATATTGTTATATATATATATTATGATTAGATATATATGCAATATTATATAATTAATATAGAAACACAGGTGATGGTCATAGGATGGTAGAATGATTGAACCACTACGGACTTGGAGAATACAGTGGCTATCCTTGGAGACATTCATGTATTCGTGATCCTTTGGGTCTAGACTGTGTTTGAATGTTGGCCCCACAAGACCTAGAGCAAAAAAATATGCAAAAGGGAGCATCGAAGAAAATCCAACCCATAGACCACAGGAGACCGAACTGGGCGATCCAACCCCAATGTGTTTCCTGGTTTCGACGAGCGGACTATGTTCAGTGGTCTCGCGCCCAAAGTGCACAGCGGGCTTTGCAAATCTCAAGAGTTCCACCAAACCGACCCACATCTTTTGCCAAAGAATCCTTAGCCACCTCAACTGACCTTCGACATGGAGCCTGGGTAGAAGGAACCATTCTCTCGACCAACTCTACAAAGAGCCTCTAGACTCTAGCAACCGTGGCCAAAGCTACAGCTACGAGTAACAGCTTCTGTTCAATCAAGTTTCAAGCATGGCTCCAAAGTGACCGAACTTGAGACTCTAAGGATTCCATTAAAACAAAAACACATATAGGCATAAAAGGTCCTCTGAAACAAAGGTCACCTCTTCGATTCTTGTCATGTCAAACATATGTGTTCCACACCGACCCCGCTTCCTTCGACCCGCTCGCGCCGTCCCCGCCCTCTCGGAAGTCGGAGATCCGCAGAGATCGCCCGTCGAGGCTTGAGAACGGTCACCGCGGTCAGTTGAGAGAAAGGTCCCAAGAAAGTCATCGTAGAGAGAAAGGTCCTGCCTCTAAAATGTTTTTAGTTGTTCACAAGGTGAAACATGGGGATGATTTTGACATGCTTCCTGCAATTGATCAACCGAGCTTTCCAGGTGGTGAACAAAAACACAGAACTCCTATGAGAAGGATTGCTCGAAATTTGTTGATCTCAAGATTTCTTCCAGATTTGCTGGACCCCATCCAGAACCCCTGAAATGGCCAGTGAATAAACTGTTCATCAGGGAGAGCATGAAGGTCTCTCGTGACAAGCATAGGGGCTGGAGCCAACCCCTCTTGTTGAATCCATCTCAGCTGAGTGTTCCGAAGTGGCAAAGTAAGTCATCTGAAGAAACTATCCGGTGCAAGTCAAGCCCACAACTTCAGAAGACATCGCTTTTTGAAGTCCATGACATTCCCCAGCTTTCCCCAACATCCGCTCCCAAAGCACCACCAGGGAGGGGCGCACGTGACCAAATCATAATGCTCTTCGAGGCTGGAGAAGTCCTTGTCCTGGAAATTAGACATCCGGTCGTGACCAAACATCACATGATTTATTGCGGTTACATACAGAGCACAAATCACAGGGTGTACTGTGTACCCTCCTTCGCATCAAGTGAAAACCGGTCTGTTGAAGGCTTGAAGGCGGTATGCCTTCAGAGTCTTTTGCGGAGGGGTTAAGGGTTCTTGGGGTCGGGGTTTCAAAGGGTTACGGGTTAAGGGTGTGGTTCTAGAGCTTCTGTGTGTTCTTCTTCCAACAGCCAATGAAGTAGCCAAAATATCCAAGGCCACTCCTTGTCAAGAACATGCACGCCACTCCTTTTGAGTCCACAATTCTGGACTGATCAACAAAAAAGGACAACTTTTCTCCGCCAACATCTCATCTGCCAAGACTCAAAACTTTTCCCACCAGGTGGCCAATGGCAGCTGCGGATATTGACACTTATTTGGTTCATTCCTTCATTCCTTTCTCATCGCACCAGGTCTAAGATCATCGCTTTGTGAATGAGTTTCCAACCAAACATTATAGACCAAATCTGACCAGGCCAAGCCAATCGCATAATGAGGAATCGTCATAAATATATAACACAATGTCCCACATGTACATGGGACTGGTTGGTGAACCCCTATAGGTTTGGGTCTTGTCACGTCTCTGATCCGATGTCCAGCCTTGGTCATATATACTAGCAGTCATTCACACAGAATCCTCTAAAGAAACACAATGTTCCAATATGTTCCATGTGACCTGCAAAAGGGCAAGCATTTGGTTGGACATTACTATTACCAAACAACAACACCAACAAGTAACACATACTTGGCATATTTGCCCAGATTGGGTGGCTTTAAGACGTTCAGACATTCAGCCACAAGCCAAACTTATTCATCCTCTTTGGATTCTGACTCCACTAGGAGCAAGGACGCTACTAGGGGCTCCTGGCATCGCTACTAGGAACAAGAAGCTACTAGGAGTTCCTCCACGACCCACCTCCGAGCTCAGCTGCAAGGGGAGGTTCCGACGGTGGAGCATCGCGGTGGACCTTCGGTCGGAGCGTCTCTCGAAGCGGACGACGCTCCGGAGGGGCGTCTATTCCGAAGGTTCGGTCTGGTATATTAATCCTTTGAATAACAGTGGCTTCTTGTATCTTTTTGCATGACATGGTGTTGAAGAGTACCCGTTTCATTCGTGTTCTTATCTACTTGAGGATGGTGATGGGCTCCACAAAACTGATGACATGTAATGGAACCATGCTGTGGATGACATTAGTTTTTCTTTGATGATACTGCATAGCCAGCATAGATCGGTTTCTGGACAAACACAAAATGGTTTGATGACTTCCGTTTGCGAACAAAGCAGCATACTTCCTACAGCTAACAGGCTAACAGGAGTGAAAACAAAAAGCAAAGCGAGATCCACCCTGCCAAAGCACATGGTCAAAGTCTGCCATACTTACCCTTTGAACAATTAACTCCCTACTTCCGTAAGATTCCAAGGGAACCTCCAAAACACCGCCCAAAACAAACACAAGCGGAGGGCGGACCAAAGAATGATCCACCAGCACCATCCATGGTTCCATATTTTCATAGTGCACTGGACCTCCAGATTCTCCGCTTCGGACGCCCACTTCAGCCGTCGCCTGTAGAGGTGTCGCATCTCAGTGGTCACGGTGCCGCCATGGAACCTGGGCAGCTTTTGCATGGGCCTCAGTCGGGCGATTTCGTTGCGAACATTTGTACATCACTGAAATCACGGAAATCTTCGAAAAAAAAATACAATAGGTCTTAAATTTTAAGTTTTTGTCTGTAGATGTGGTGCAATAGTCGAATGACAAGCATGTGCCAGTGTGGAATCGCGGAGAGTCCTAAATATTATACACATGTATACAAATGTTTTGAACATTTAAAAACTGTCTAGGTCTGAGAGATATTTTCTGATTCCGCACTTTGGGGTACTTGATGCTGGCCTAAAATAATCGAGAGATGCGGAGAGGAATCGTTTTGCAAAGAAACAATTTAGTAGTCAACATATATAGTGCCTGTCAATGCCTGGTGCCCCTTGTTCTCTTGCAGGGCTGCAAGGCGCCTCAGCACCATGATGCCACAATCACCCAGGTTCAGCAAGGACACCATATCCTGTGCGGTATGGAGTGATGCTTTTAGGATTCCCCAGAAGGAGCATTTGATTGGTTTGTCCCTGGACCCTGGAGAAAGGCTCAATCCCCACATCGCAGCTCCCACTATCCGGTGGTCGATGTTGGACTTCCTGTAAGACATGCTCTCAACCTGTTGCTCGTGCAATCTCGGCACCGGTCTCACTCTCCGTTGAACGTTAAGTGCAAAGAGTGTTAAAATGACTTCAAGAAGCACATACTGTGATACTGGAAAATCCAATGGGCCAAGTTTTCCCTGAGGTTTCAAACCTTGCACCTTCAGCTCGTGTCATCGGCGCTCTGGAGTGGCAAACTGTATGGAGAAACCGAGAGAATACTCCACTATTGAACAGATTGGAGTGCAGTTCTTTGCATCATTCATTTAGGCCAGGCTTTATGCTATTGTAATTACCATAAACAACTATATAACCAGTTCTTGATCTGCTTCTGCATTTCTGGGGCACTTCAGTTCGGCTAATGAAAGTTATGAGCCGCTGGGAAGTCGGATTGTGCACGCTTATATCCGAGCAAATGTACTGTAGGAGGCCTTTCGCTTCAACCGGAAGCACGGCCTCAGCGTTCATGGTACCAAAACTATTCTGAACCAGGCAACACCAAAGCAACCCACCAAACTGCGAGTCGGTTTCGACACTTTCTTCTTTTGAGGGGGCGGGTTCGCTGGTTGCCCTGTCATCGGCTGCAAACGCGCCTGTTGCAGCTGCCCTAAGAGCAAGGTGCAACTCCCAGTGTGAGACCTGAGCAAACAAAGGGCAAGGAGGACAAAAGAAACTTTTAAGGTGGGAGGCGTCCACCTTCCAGTTGAACACAAATCGTTTAGTTGCACATGGCAATGTTTACACTACACACACGCACAAAGTCTCCGTGTTTTTTTCTCTGATCTGATGTCTGTTTTTGCTGTCCATTCTTGTGGATTACGAAATTGGTGTCTGATGTGAGGTTCTGCAAATGGACTCTTCGTAGACTGTCGGGGTATCACTTCCACGACTGATCTCACCAAAGGATCAAACATGAACCTCTCGCAGCATCTTCAACCAGTTGCTGCAGTTGCTAAACACATACCTGGATCACGGCTAAAATGATAAGAGTGTATACTTTCAGTGGCAAGTGAAGCCCTCCATCGTGAACCAAAGCGCTCAACAGAGCTAAGGGAACAGGTGCTGTACTATATCTTAATGTGGAATTGGCTCAGCCTGGGGGCAGGCTGATGGCGGTGCTATCTCCGTACAGTTGCACGCCCGGCAAAGCTGTTGGGCAAACGAGCATCTGTGGAGGAACTCCAACCATTTCCCACCAAGCTGAGTTGGACTCCCTTACGCACGAAAACTGCACCGCCACTTACATCCACGAAGGACCGAACTACGGGTTGTCGAAAGCACAAACCGTTCAAGTGCTACAAAACACTAATCTTTTTATTAGAATTCATCAAGGTCAACACTGCCAAGGATGAGACATGCATGGACGCGTCGCTTAGCCAAATTGGCAGCCTTCTCCAACCAGCTGACTTCTCCACACCCTCAAGTCAGGGAGCTCCTGCCGAACCGCCTGCGGGCAACGTCTGCCAGAGCTCAAAGACTTCAAGCCTTGCCAAACCCACAAAGAAATTGTAGGATCAAACTGTTATCCTTTACAGGAGGAAATGATCCTACAGTGGCTACAGCGGGAACCATTGTTGGAAACAGCTGTTCATAAGGGAGTTTCCTTGAATCCTAAAAAAATAATAAAGCCCTACCTGGTTACCTTGTAGGATCGGCAGGAACATTTGACGTTGACATGGGCCTCGGCATGCAGCTTGAATGGGATCGTTCCTACAGATCTGGAGAGTATGTGTGCGTGTGCGCGTGTGTCTACAGCTGTCCTTAAGGAGACTTTCACTAATTCCTTTGTACTCAGCAGGGGGCCGCTGGGGATTCGTGCAGTGAGCGGCCATGCATGTTTCAACCGTTGACAAACGGTCTTGCTTGTACCTATAGTTGCGTTCTCCCACGGGGAGTCTTCACAGTGTGAACCTTATAAGTATGGCCAACGCTGTCTACAGCGTTGCTTTGCAATTATATATATATAAGTTTAAAGCAGTACAGGGATAAGTTCACTTCCTGCATTCCTCAGAGCTTTACGCTCTTGCGAGCTTCTTCTTGAGTGTGGGATTTCTTTCGGTTGAGGGAGCTCAGATTCTAATACACGATGAGATTACCAAAACCAACTTCAATTTGGGGTGTTTCCTCGTTTAACTGTACACACGGGTGGTTGCGAGGTTCTCAAAAGTGACATGCAAGGGAAACAATGACAAAATGAAAGGACACACGTGCAATTTCGCTCAAAACAGTGAGAGGTTTCGGACCAACTTATTCTATT